CCATCGGGCTGAATTGCGTAAACGTTTTGCCGCAGACGTCGCATTTGTAAGGACGCTCGCCCGTGTGCGACCGTCGATGGCAACGTAACGCCGCACGTCGAGCAAACACCTTCCCACATATCTCGCATTTGAAGCTCTTCTCGCCGGTATGCATAGTTGAGTGGATTCTGAGATCAACTCGCGTGAGGAATCCTTTGCCACATACCTCGCAAAGATACGGCTTCTCGCCCGTGTGAATGCGCAAGTGCGTGTTTAGGTAACTCTTACTGACAAACATCTTGTTGCATACCGCGCATGGATATTGGCGATTGTCGGTGCCAGAGTGTATCTTCTGATGACTCTTGCAGAGACCCTTAGTGATGAAACCACGGCCACAAATCTCGCACATGTACGGCTTCACGCCGAGGTGACGATTCTCGTGGTCCAACAACGATTGTTTCGTCTTGAAATTCTGACTGCATTTCGTGCACGAGTACGGTTTCAAGTCTGAGTGTACTCTTTGGTGTACAATGAGATAGCTCTTGCACTGAAATCCTTTGCCGCACGTGGAACAGTTGTAGTCAAATTGACCAGTGTGTGTGGCTATGTGCTGCGCGAGGCCGATCTTGCTGCGAAATGCCTTTTCGCATGTCGTGCATTGAAACGGTTTCTCGCCTGTATGCTTGCGCATATGTTCCTGTAGCTTGTAATTTGACTTGTACTGCTTGCCGCATTCAGTACACACCTTCGCAGTCCACTTCCGTCTTACCGTCGACTGTTTCTTCTGTCCTTCTTGATTGTCATTGCTTTCTTGCAACGATGTTACGTTTAATTGTACGTCCTTCTTCTCCTTACTGACTACTTCAATTTTATATACATCACATTGCTCCTTGTGTAGATTTAATTCCTCGACACTAGTAAAATATAGGCCGCAAGAACAGCAGCAGAAATGGTGCTCGAAATGTGCGGCTAGATTGCTCGTCTCCAAAGCTGCTTCGTTGCAAAACGGACACATGTACCAGTTCGTACCGGTATCATCTATGGTAGGGTTGCTAAGCGTAGACTCTAATAATGCGTGTTTTGTTCTCTTCGTGTATTTAACCATTATTTCGCATGGTACGCCGTTTATCTGACTCGTAGATGGTAAATTCATAGAATCCACATGTTCATGAGTTCCATTTTCATTTATACAAGATTCTTCTATTTCACTTTCCGTTTCAGCTTGGGGAGAGACGAAATTATCTACTGATACCTGAATTATAAATCAAAATAGATATAAAATCATATTATATAATTATATTAAGGGGAATTTCGCCTGAATTGGGCCAAAAATTGAGTGATATTAACCATTTTTTTACTTATGATTTTTTTTATTAAAGAAAATTTGTTACATTGTTAATACAAAATATGCTCTTTCACCGGAAAATTATTTTGAATTGATAGATATATTTTGTCATTTTATTTTTGTACGAAAAAAAATAAAAAAATCCTGTTATAAAAAATACTTCTATTTACAGGATGAATCTCGACAAAAGAAATTTTTAAACATTGCCAAAGCCATTATAATTTAGCGAACACAAAGTACGGGTTTTTTAATTAATTTTTTCTATCTTTGGAGATGCCTAAAAAATGTTTAATTTAAAAAAGTTCGCAGTTTTTTTAGTTTAGTTCTAGCAGAAATGTGTTTAACAAAACCTCTTCAAATTTGAACTCAATTGGATAATTAGTTCTCGCGATACGAATGTCCATTAACTTTGAAAACATCGTTTCGAGAAAAACGCGTTTAAAGTCGTCTGACTTTTTTTAGACATTTTTCTATCTATTATATAGTTACAAAAGCAGAAAATGCTCTGTCTACTTCGCACATCAGCTTTCAATAGAAACCCTCCGTTTAAAAAAGAGAAGAACTTTTCTCGACTCGTTTGGCAGGCGAAACAAGTACTTGTTAGGCAGACCAAAACAGCCGAGAATTATCTTTTACCCGCCTATGCGGTGATCGATTTATGTCAGTTTTGCGAGCATCGCCATAATTATTCTTGAAATGTAAAACTTCAAGAAAATGCAAAAAAATTCGATTTTTTCAACCCAATTTAAGCGAAACCTTTTTTAAATAATTCTTTATTTTTATGGCTATTTTATTTGCTTGTATTTCTAAATAGTAATTAATTTTTTCTTTTCAATTTTATCTATTTTTATTTATTATACTTACATTATTTTTGAGTATGTGCTGTGGCTCTTCCGTGGTTAATCTATGGTACTCTTGTTTTATTGGATCTGTCTCGTATTTTACATTTTCACAGTAATGTACTATCTGCTCCTGGCTCTGATCTTCAGGATTAATAGTAGTAACATAATTTATCCCTAATTGACTCAAGTGGCCATCCAGGTTTCCTACTACAGCAATATTGCTATCCAAATGCATTGCAATCTGATGATTTGAAACCTATAAAATAGTTCACAGATCATAAATTAAAATTCGAATTAAAAAAATAGAATGATATTTTAAATTATTCTGTAACGTAAACATTCTATTTAGCTTTTAGAATAAAAATATTAAATAAATTACATTCTAATTATAACAAAATAGCATAATGAAAAAATATAACTTAGCAAATTTTTGACGACATCTCCATATAACATTAATTCTAATTGCTCTCTTTTGTGTAGCTAATATCATTAATTTAAATTTAAGATATCAATTAAAATTATCTAATGTTACATTGTTTTTAATAGATGGTTTAGTAAGAAGACACAAAATAAACTATTTCACTTGTGTTGTTATAAATTTATATAATCACACATATACACAAAATAATGACCATAAATGATCTGTTTGGTTTACAAAAATAAAATAGATAGAAATTAATTAATTACCTCTCGTATATGTTCATCAACCATTCTCACGGTATCACCATCTAGACAGTCGATGTCTTGTTGACCCATTTCTTCCTGCGTAACTACTTGTTCGCCACCAGCCAGGTCCATTTCATCCATTACCTGCATCGTGTGTATGGTAGATTCTGTAGCTTCGTGAGCTACGGCCGAATGACTTTGTACATTTTCATTATTAATCCGTATGCTAGTCAGGTTTCTTTGAATTGTGCCCATATTATTCACGCTTGCCAAATCGTGCTCGGATAGATGCACAATCTCATCTTTGCCAATTTCCTTCAACATTTCCATAAACATTCCTTCTGTATGTAAACATTTCTCACGGAAATCAAATAATTGGTCCAATTTAAACGCGCATTCTTCACAGACCACTTTGGGCAGTTGATCTGTCAATGACACCTGAAATTTATAAAATTATAATACAATATAATCCCAAAGCAAATTGCTTACTGAATCTTATACATCGCAAATGTTAGGATTCTATTTTGCTCTTGGAATAAAAAAATATAAAATAAATTATATGTTATATTTAATTATGATAAATAGCATAATAATAAAAATATAAGCTATAGCCGAGTTTTAATATGTATTACTGTATATTTTTCAAAGTACTCATGTAACATTCATTAATTCTAATTAACTTTTGTATAGCTATATCATCATAAACTTAAATTTAAGACATTAATTAAAATGATTTAACGCTCCGCAACGTTAATCGAGTCTAGAAGAAAGTGTACACCTCCAATCTGGAAAAAGAACGAGCAGTCGCTGAAGATGCAAAGAAGAACGGATGCAAAGGTCTCGTTCATTTCGATCCGGAGCAAAGACATTAAAGAAAAAAAGCCAGGATAAGAAATGAATTCGTCGCCGCTGTCAGCACGATGCTGCGTTCGCTCATTGCACTGCATCCTTACCTGAACCGGTAGACAGGCCGCTATCTTCTTATCGATGTTGCGCATTTGATCGCCAGCCTCGAATATCGGCAAGCCCATCAGGATGCCAGTCTTGGTCGCGCAGAGGCGGCACAGGTAATCGAATTCCTCGACGACGGCCATGTCGACGGGACCGAGATGCTCTCTTTCCAAACGCGAGTCAACGACGGCGGATGACGCGGACGGGGGGCAGAGGAAGTCCTCTCGTTCTCAGAGAGCGCGGCGGCGATTCGTTAATACCGCGTACGCGCATCCCTCACGGCGACGTGCCGCGAAATGTCACTTTAAAACGCAACGCACCGTGAATCCGAGCCAGTCTGCGCTATACCATCGGCGGGGCTCGTTCTGCCGCAGTCAGGCGGTTCAAGGCAGGGAGTCACAGGGAGTCCGAGCTCCCCTTCTCGAAAAGGTTGGAATTGTGTCGGCGTCGCCTTCCGCGGCGGTTCAGACTCGGAGCGAACTAAAGCCAGTCACGTGATCGAGTGACGGAAAGTCGCGCCAAATCCAAATCGTGCAGGCATGCACGTATATGTATTCTCGAGAAAGTGAAGGAGTATAATTTGAATTTCATTAAATATCTGATTGCGTTGCTTGAAATCCCTAAAAACATTTATATAATGAGATAAATATATATTAGATAAATATACATGTAGTGAATTTGCTCACTTTTGTATTTTGTACAATAATTTTCACCTCATTTCAAAATATACAATTGACCTTCTCGTATATTAAGGAGATATTGTTCATATAAATATTCTCCTTTATTAATTAGTGCGAATGGGATTGTTATTTTGAGTCTCGCGCCATACGCAGTCGCTTTTTTTGGATCCTCTTTTTCCAACGTCGAGAAGTTGGTCCACGAAAAATTTAAATTTTTGAATTTTGAATATTTTCACATATTTAAATATTTGAATATTTCTCCTCTCGGTTTAGCTCATTTCTTGTCGATGTAATGTTCCTATGCTCCTTCCGACAGTCCCGAAGAATTTTACGTAGTTTTTCGTCATTTCTTGTGCAAGAAGTCGCGAGCGTGAAATAATTAACGTAAAGTGGCAGTGATTTGTGAATTGTACGCAACTGCATGCTGTGGACTGCGAGTGGTCGGACGCGTCTCGCTCAAAACGACGTTGAATCGCGCGATTAGACGAATTACACGAGAATTCTTCCTGTTTTGCGTATTCAAAGGAATACACTTGCGACGTGGTGTGACGTTTACCCGCTGCGACTGCAAGTTCGTCGCAGCAGACGCAGGTACCGGCGAATGGAGGTTAATTTAGGTTAGGTTAACCCGAGTGGCGTTCAGTTTGCAGCTGACGGATACGATGGAAAACGCAACTCCTATCAAAAGCAACAATCCTGCTCCTACAGTAGAGCAGATCAACTCGGACAGGATCACCCAGGTATATCTATTCTCGATCGTTTCGCTGACGTTTAACTGCAAATTGTCGAAGATGTGTTTCCCAATGTTGCGATTAGGCAAATTTTCTGTTAATTATTGCTCTTATTTTTATGTTTTAAGATGCTGTATTTCAAATTTTGTAGGGGATACAAAAATTTTAGCTTAGGCAAATTTTCTAGCAATTGTATGCTATTATTTTGTAGATTTAGAATCGCTTTGTGTGATTACCCCAATGTTGCGATTAGGCAAATTTTCTAGCAATTGTATGCTATTATTTTGTAGATTTAGAATCGCTTTGTGTGATTACACTGGATGCTTTCTTTTTGGTTATTTGTATATCATATTAGAAAACACCCCTGGTGTTACTCACGTGTCAAGACAAATAAAAAATTCTTTCCATTTAATGGCTCAAAAAAATTGTTACATTCTTTCAGGAAAACGGTGTTACTCACGTGTCAAGACAAATAAAAAATTCTTTCCATTTAATGGCTCAAAAAAATTGTTACATTCTTTCTTAACATTCAATTAGAAACAAAGATAGGATGACACTTGCATCAACTTGTGTCACTAAGTGGAAAGCACTTAAAAATCAAATTACCATTATGTTGATTTTTGTATCACTAAAATGGAAATTTATGTGATTCTGTTGTTTTCAGCTTGCAAATAAATACTGGGCACCACATACCACAAACAAGCATCTGGCATTCGATTCGCAAGTAGTGGATGACATTTACGTACAGGAAATATGTGCGTCCAAGTTCTCTGTCCGGAGGATCATGATGCTGGAGTTCAGCCAGTACTTAGAGAATTTTCTCTGGCCAAATTACAAGGCGGAGAGTGCTACGCGAGAACACACCATGTCCATTGTAGTCATGGTGAACGAAAAGTTCAGAGAGCGGGTGCAAGTCTGGGAGGCGTTTGAGAAGAATTCAACAGAGTTCGCTGGATTTTTTCAAAAGGTTCTCGAGGCGTGCTTGGAAAAAAGTATAATGGACTTCAATCTGAAGGAACAAACGGCATTGATAGTGTTCTTGAATCATTGTTTCAATTCCATGGAAGTGACCTTGGTTCGAGAAGAAGCCAAAAGACTGGTGTCACTGTCCATGTGGATCTCCTTGCAACAAGGCAGACGAGAACTCGAATTTAGAAAGTATCCGAAATGGAGGAAGTATTGGAAAATTATAAGGAAAAAAGATAATCCCACGTATAAAGAAAAACTCGAATGGGAACGCAAGTTCTTGCATAAACTTATGATAAAATTTATGACGATATTGGAAACGATTCCTGCAGAAGGTATTTATGAGTACTTTTACATATATATTATTATTATATAAATATTTTGTATATTTTTTTTTAGGTGAATATATTTCTCTATTTTTTAAATGAAACTAAAAAGGATCAGAATGAACTAACATACAGAAAAAGTAATTTCAGTCAAACTGGCTGAAACCATGATATTTTGTAGCTTATGAGATTCAGTCAGCAAAATTATAAAAATACACAATTTTTTGTAATATTATTTTAAATGGTGCTATGATATAACAAAATCTGTCCATTTTCTGTAATTGTATCTGTAAAGGCATAATCAATATCTCATAAGTTACAAAACACATATCAGTTTCAATCAATTTAACTAAAACAACTTTTTTCATATGTTAATGAGGAGTCTGTTTACTAAATCTTGTTGACAATAAAATTAAACATTCGAAATTTATCTTCAATTAACAATTTTAATTATGGTTTTAATAGGACCTGTACTTCCGGATAAAGTGCGTTACTGCGAGAGATTTTTGGAGCTGGTCATCGACCTGGAGGCTTTACTTCCTACCAGACGTTTCTTCAATACTGTCATGGATGATAATCATCTAGTGGTGCGTTGTCAATTATCTAATCTGCTGCATCGTCCAGAGGGAAGTTTGTTCGGACAGGTAAGTTGTCGCAGAATATTTGTTATCGCAAAGTGTTGTATAAATGGGTCAGGTTAAATAATTTAATTTACAGTATTGAGTTGAATATTCAGTTGAATATTAAGCGAATTTAATATTTCGTACAAAAAATTGATTTACTATATAGATATAAATATTAAACACAAATACCATTAAAAGTATAAGATCATTTAAGAGACTCGGTGACACATATTTTAATTATACTGTGCAACACGCCCAAACTTGTCCATAAATTAGCGATATTGCACAATATAATAGATAAGTATTATATTTAGACTAAAATCTAAATCAGTACACTTGTGGCAACATGATATGCTATGAACATGGATGAAATGCAAGATACTAGATGTGTTAAAATTGTGAAGTGATAAAAATGTTTCGATAAGCGTACAATTTTATAAGGCAAGAGATTGATTTCGTTTTAAGGCACGCATAATCACCAAACATGAAATACGAAAGACGCACGTAATTTTATCAGTGCCATCGTTTATTGGCTCGAGCTTATTAATCGAAACGCATCATATATCATATATGTATATTTTCTATATGATATGGTACTTTATAAATTTTTTAATTTTATAAGATCTTTTAATGCCTCGTCGACTTTCCTGATTTTTCTCATATTCAACTTGCACATTAATTTGATTATTGCATCATTATTTACAATATTGCCGCATTTTCCGATATTGTCTTCAACATATATGTATCTTTACATATTTTTTTCTTGCACGTTTCATGTTTACTTCTCTAAAGTAACGCTATTACGCGCTTAATACTGTTTTCTTCTGAAATAAAGACATATTCACGCATCTTTCATACCTTCTAGAGAATATCTTTTGGTTTCAATGTATATATGCGCATATATCTATGATATATATGTCTGGTAAAATTTGCGCGTGAAAGATATACGTTTATGACCTATGACTTTGAGATTGCGATCGTACGATATACGTATAAAAAAGTACAAAAGTATATTCTCAGGATCTTCGAATATACTTGTACTTTAACGACTGTATGGAATGCTTCTCACGTTTCAAACATGTTATATGCATTCTTTTTTGTTCTGCGGGCGATGTGCGTTACTTTAATCGTGATTTAAATCGCGCTATTGTCATCACTCGATCACGACTCAAATACAGATCGCACTCGTAACACGAGTAATTGTTCGTAAAGCGGTTTAATAACCCGCATTGATAGCTGTCATCTCCTCGCCCCAGTCGAGGCCTTCGGTGTTGTCACCGGAGTCGCAGCAGTTGCACGTTTTCCCGAGTAGAAACGTGACTCTTCGCTGGCCGAACACGCACACGTAGAGAATGAGCAATGCCTGCAGCAGATTCACGACGATATGGCAGTATATCAGAGCGTCGTACTTAAACTGCGAGAGCAGTAGCGAAAACCAGCCGGTGCTCATGATTGCGTAAAGAAAAACGAACATCCGAAAACTGTACTTCATTTTATGGTGGATACGGCCGTATGTGCTCATCCGCTTGATTCTGTTTGCGGTCGTCAGTATCAGACACAGATCGATCACGATGGTGAATGCGATGCACATGAATATTACGGAGAGCCCGAGCCAGCCTACGGTTTCCTGAGCGGGATAAACTGTGCCGCCTACAGTGGGCTTGTTCGTCTCGAGGGCGAAGTGCGCGAAGATCGCCGTGGCGGCTAAGCAGACCGTCAAACCCCAGACCCAGGACGAGTAGTAACAATACTTCTTGCCGTCGGTCACCCGCAGGAAAACATTGCGCGACTTGAACGTGTTCCATACGTAATAGCCCAAGGCGGTGAGCCAGAAGAAAGCGGCCATCAAAAAAACGTACATGATCGTATCTGAAAAAAAAAGAGACAAAAATTATTTTAATATTGTATCTCCTGGTACACGTCCGGCCTGGAAATTTGTCCTATAATTTGCTTTCGCAGCAGAAGGTCGTTCAAGCGGTCGCACTTATTAATTGGTCCTTCCGTCACGCGCTAAAATATGATTCATTCGAGTCTCTTTATGTCGCTCGGCTTCGCGTGTCTCGCAGATGGAGCTAATGTACTTGAGATGAAAAGGATATGACCGCAAATTTCATTATTTCATACGGCATGCAAGAGAAAATAACCCACGGTAATTCTATAAAATGATTTATATCAAGTATCTCAACGTTGCTGAGTGTGCGATGCACAATAACAGTACATCCATAGTATATTGCTGCATTCGGAAACGTAATAACTATATTTTTATGATAAATTTGAATTATCTAGATTTTTTTTTCTACAGACATAGAACGCAATTTTGTAAAAGAATTAATTGAGCGTTGTTAAATACGTCAGAGATAATCAGATATCGACGCACTGCTTTCGTCATAGGAAAACATTACCGAGAATCATTTGCATCTCCCCGCTCCAAAAGGATCTCTCGAGAAGCCGCGTGTATCGCAGAGTCGCGTGTGACTCAACCACACGAAGAAAATGATTTATTGTTCTCGAAACTTCGTTAAGCGAAAGCAATCATTTGCGATTCACGTACCAGCGACCATAAAGCTGATGTGATTGCCAAACTCTGTGAATATCCTGACGGTGGAGGCACACTGGTTGACCATGAAGCAAAGAGCCATGCTGGTGATGATGTTGCCGACGAGATCGCGCAGCTGTGGCAATACGAAGTAGACCACCGCGACGATCAGATAGCAGGCCATTGACACGGCGTGGAAGGCAGGATCGATCGCATGCTTCATCAGGTAGTTGGTATCGGTCCAGCGTACAGCAACATCCGGCACGCAAAGCATAGCGTACGTCGCCACCATCCGATCTCCGCTGAGCACTACTTTATCCGCACAGTAGTGCCCGAACGGATAGTCGTAGTGTATGGTCGGGTGTTCCCTATCGTCATCATAGTCATCATCGACATTCAACATCGCGACGCCGTAGACGCCACGATTCTCATCCATGCCTTTTGACAGATCAACGATGTAGTGGCGCAACACACCAGTCGGCAGGATCGACAGCCGATCTGGCCCGGATGGATAGTAGTACACGTGCCACTGATGCTCGTCGGAGTCGCATCTGGGGCGTCCGATCTTCAGCTCGTATCTAGGCTCAACGTATCCTGTTCTGCTTGCCGCTGCATCTCGTTCCTTCACGAACTCCGGTCGCCACTTGGTCTCATTGGTCTCCGATAATGGTGTACATCGGTCATCCACTAGCAACTCCTCGGGCTCGCAACATTTACCGATGTTCACTATCGTGTTGGAGCTGACGAGTTGCGTCTCGGCGTCGGCGAGCACGTTCCTCGTCTCCCAAGCAACGACGAGTAGCAACACGATCCTTAGATACATGACGCCGAAACTCGCGCGGCTCTTCTTAAGTTTGCATCCGCGGGTACACACGTTCTTTCGTCTCTTCGCCGTTAAATGAAAAGTATAGAGTTGTTGTTGCGTCCGTGTAGCCGATCGATTGTTTTACGAAGCGTTCATCCGTGATTCACTCAACTCATCGTGACGCGTATCGTGCTTGCTTCGCCATACCTGGCCTCACCGCCAGTGCCTCTCGTCCCGCGGTTGGTTACTTACCTAGCTACCCCTGCCAGCGTCCGCCGCCATGACATTCCCGTTCTTCGCTGCATCGTACCTCCCTAGCCCCTCTGCGTCCCCCGACGACCGCAAGCGAGTTTACCTTCATTCCAGCTGCTCCAAAGACACAACGGCGCGTGTTAGCGTTGCGCTCACACGCGCCTTTATGCGCTCCGTTTTCACTTTCGATGATATATTCTGAACTCTTGAATGTCTTAATCTTTGAAAAATTATTGTGTAAAATTTATTATATTATTTTGCCCTTTTTGTCTTTCTGTAAGATAAACGTTTTTTCTTGTCATTTTGTTTTTTCATCAGATTTATCATGAAGGAATTAATGTGCTTTTATAATTAGCGGTTTTATACATCTCAAAAATTTAATAAGTCTATTCTATCGTACACTTAGAGAGCAACATATAAAGGTGATATCTTTAAGTGTTTTATATATATATAATGCATTAGTTTATTTAACTATATACATACATCAATTTTAAATATTAAACTTATGTAGTTGTCATTACTTTATAGTTGTCATAATGATAAATAACGATAAACATATAATTATATTTTTCTCTGAGTGTATACTTTCACGTTTATTCATGAGATACATTTATTGAATGTGTAGAAGTGTTAAATGAGATACTTTTTTTAGACATGTAAACAATTGATATAATAATTGAATATGTACCTACTTTATGAGTGCTTAAAATGAATTAAATATGTACATATAAGTATATTTGTCTACCATCAGTGAGACAATATTAATTATTTTAACCTGTAGCAAAAACGTCAAAAGATTATCAATAGCCATATCAATGCATGATTGAATGACAGTAAATTGTCAGATTTATTAAAATAATTTTATTAATTTTTTCTTGTTTATTAATGTAAGAACTGTTAAGAAAGAGACGAGTCTCTTTAATCAGTCTGATATTTTTCTTATCAAACAATATTGATAACTCGGAAAAATTACTCAAACTTACATATTTTTTGAAACGATTTTATCTTATGAGATTATCCTTATCGAAATCATCACTTTTTAGCTTTCGGTATTGTAGGTATACTCGTAAAAGGAGTGATTCTCTCCGCGACACATTCTTAATCTTATCTGTTAGAATTATCACAAGGTGAATTAAACAAAATAGTACCATACACAAATCACGACAAGAGTAATATTTCTCGAGAATATTACTATAAAGTATTAGCGTAAATAAGCTTGTGGTAATACGCAATCGCGTTCTTCGCTATCCTTATCCTATATTTTCTTCTCGTTCCATCTTTATATTATTGATTCGCTACTTGTTCTTCGAACATCAATATAAAACCGCAATGGCGTGCATAAAATACGACACATGTTCATATACTCTGAGGAAATATTATATCGCATTAAATATAACTCTAAATTTTTGGGAGTGAAATTACACTCCAAGAAAAGTAATAGTTGCGTCAGTTACTTCTTCAAGAAATGAGTTTCTTAAAAGGGCAACTTTAATTATTAATATTTCGCTTCACGAGTCAGAGTGACGTTTTTTTTCTGCCAGATTCGTTCGTTTTGTGTAAAAACACGTGCAAAATAATGAACCTAATTTTATTAAAATTGGATGTTGGGAGGGTAATGACATTAACCTTCAGTCTTTCTTTTTAAAAAGTAAAATTGTTTACTTTTCGCAGAAATTAAAAATTGACTCTTGCTTGAAGTGATTCTTCACTCTCTAAGAGTAAAAATTTCATTCCTGTCGAACTGACACAACTACCACACTTCGGCAGTGAAATTTTACTCCTAAATATTAGAACTCTCGAAGTCAGATAAAAAAATATCTTCAATTCCTTTGGCGAAATATGTTTGTATTATTATGTGAGTAGAAATTAAGTATACTGGAATATCAATGAAATCTAGATAAAGAGTGTCTATTATCTAAATGCTTTGTCGTATGTTATCAACATTTATTCTTGTTTGGCACTTAAAGAAAGGATTCTCACAATATTCCTTGTGGGATTTATTGATTCAACAATGCTAAAAATAGATAAACCAATAATGATTCTTCTGAGAAAGATAAATAAGGCCTTCCGGACTGTAAGTCTCAGTAATTTAGCTTCTCCCCTTTTTGTCGGTCCATTCTCTTTACAGTCATTCTCAAGATACACGCAGTGTGCGCTAACATGCTCTATTTACGCTTTCAATGAATTATATATGACGACGACGCGTATCTTGCTTCTCTTTCGTTTCGTTGAACAATCGAGTCATTGTAAACTCACACATCTGTATATATTTGTGAGCCACTTACATGAAGAAATAATAACTGTATCTATCTATAGATTTTTCTCTTTTCTTTTTCTCTCATTTTTTATAATTCACCTTCATTCAGTGATCGTTCGATTACACATGCACGTTACTTTATTATTAAGTCATTTTAATTAATAATTATATAAAAACGAAGAAAAAAGTATAAATATGAAATTCTAACTATGTTGAATGCATCTTTCTTCGCATAACAGCATGAATCAGTATTCCAAAGTCCAGTAAAATATTTATCTTGTTTTTAAAACTAAAAATTATGAAAACTTTAATAGGAATTGACATTTAATAAGAACTCTTTTTCCATATGGTTTTGATAGATTTTTATCATAAAAGAATTGCGTTTAAATAGTAATACCTAAAGTGTATTCGTGATTTAATTTGTAGACTAAAAAACAATATGTAAAACTTTTGTACGTTTGTAAATATTTCAAGAAAATATTTCGTATTGCATCTTGCTCGGTCGAATGGTTGCATTCAATGACATTGACTGTCTCAGAACAATCTAATTTGTTTAACAAATTTCGTTTGTGTCGCTGATACTAAGTATTTGTGTCAGTATCAACAAGAATGCACCGCACGAATGTAATCAGATTTGTTGTACGCAGCATTATTTGATACATTTATAACATTCTATTGGTGGAATGCAACATGATTGCACAGAATATTGGCTTGCGGACCATCTTTTTTCAATCGATGGATTTTTCTTTCGATACGACATGAATATTTTTTAAATATTTCATTCATCGAAATTATTTTCGGTCTTGAAACGCGATTAGTAACAGAGTAATAATCATATAGTATAATAAATTAATAAGCAATTTACTAATTTTTTATACTAATAAGCATTTTAGAAAGGTATTAAGAAATGTTAAACCACAAGTCATCCTTGACATTTTTTAATGAATTATAGGATCAGCTTCGAACTGTTCAAAGAATCCACAAGCAAAGGATCTCTAAATCTGGCGCGCTCTATGCAATTTAATTAATGAAACGCATGTCGAAATGGAACGCGTGGAATCAATGGAAGTGGGACAAGCGATGTGTGTTTACATTACAACATATTTACCGTGCCTGCGGCGATAATTTTAACAAATCTTAACAACATAATTATTGCGGTTTCCTTCTTCTTGTTAGTTTAACAAATCTATTGTCTAAACTTATGTCACTGCGTAAATCAGATTTTTATTAGAAGGTATCCTGAATTGACGCGTACGTGTGTTATGCTAATATACGCGGGGCTCATCCATGGTGAAAGTGTCCAGTAGCCTTCAGACTCTAAATACAAGCGGCTTTTGCATCGCAATTTATTGCTCACGGTTACTTTGATAGCTTATCCTTTAATGTTCCATTCTGTTACAGATACGTTAAAATCATGATTGAATTCACTTGCGCAATGTTTTCATCACACGCGAGATATCTCGTGCCGAAGATCCATGCAATACGTCATGCATAGTACTCGCGATGGTTGATAGTGGAGGTGAAAACAACGAGTGAATGAGTCGGATTTACGCATTTTCGTAGGAAAACGTAGGAATGTGGGAACGAATGACTCGTTGTCGTCACGTTTCCGTGAGTGATTTAAACGAGAAATTGTAACTGAATCACGAGCGTGAAATGATATTACACACTGATGAGTAATTGTTCTTCGTTGTATTCTTTCCACGAGTTTTACTTCACACACATACAATAATTTGATCCAACATTTGCATAATGTTTACGGAGATTCTTACACAGTATTTAATAATAATAATAATGTACTCCATTATGCTAACCGTGAAAACAACACGTTCCACAACAATCACATTTAAAACATACATTTACATTACCTAACTCATTATCAGGCAAGTGCCGATTTTTATGTCGCTCTTATATGTACTGGTGCTATACAAGTAAAAGAATAAGTGATAATATGTACGTACGTTAATAAGAGATAAAATAATATTGTCAGTTAAACACTGAACCACGAGTAATAACGGATTAACATAATTGAGACTATATGTAACAATGAGAATATTCGGAGAATAAAATGTGCGCTTATAAATGAGTCAATTATAGAATCAAATTAATTAAACGTTCGACAATGGTCGCGTTATCTATGTCCAATTATAGATAATTTACAAGTAAATCAAGATTGGATTGTCTTTTCCTGTAGGCAACCTTTCTCACATTTAACCCACATGATGAAAAAGAAATTACGAGAGGAAAAAAACATGAGAGTGCCTTAGCCTTGATGAGATAGCTCAAGCTCCTCGGGAAGTACCGCTTCGCACTCCTCGTCTTCGTATGCGGCCCAGGATTTTGGGAAAGCAATACCGCACGGTCGCTTCTTTGCTAACAACTTCCGTACCCTTTTCCGCGTCGCAACGAGAAGCAGGAATATGATGAATCCTTGCAGGCCATTCAATAGATCCGTCGGTATCCTGAAGAAGAAGAACGTCGTAGATTATTTTACTAGTAATTGATAGACATTGATGCAAGGATAAAATATTTTAACGATTGCTTACCAAAACTCATCCATTCTCGATCCGACAGCGAATGATAACAATTCAAAGATCCAGGTAATACCCATGACGAGCACCAGTTTAATATATAGCAGGCACTTAAATCGCATGATTCGCAACTTGCTTCCCGTGTACTCGCGATATTGATGCCACAAACGCCAGCTGGTCATTCCGAGATAGATTATATTTAACATTAACAAAATAGCAACCGGCCCGTAAAAGTACGTCCACGTCTCTGTAATGCCTGTAAAGCGTAGACACGAAATCATAATTTTATCTTATATTAGAAGAACTAATGAACGACCTTTAAACCGCTAAGTAAGCACACTGGAAAAATCACACAGTGATTGAATTGGCTCTGGAGCTTTCTTTTCCCGAGGAAGCTAAACACTGGATTGTTCATCGTCTTTCACTTATTCCGTCTTTCAATCATGATACTGTAACCTCTTTTAGATTGAATGAAAATCTATCCACGAGATTAAGAAAGAAGAAAAAGTAGCTCCGACTCCATACGCCAACTTAAGTTATATTCCGACAATTGAAACAGCAAAGTCACTTACTGATTTTTTTATCAGGTAGGAAAATTTTTTGAAAACTTACCACTGAACCAACAGGTATATTCGCCAAAGCCAGGTCGCAAGTGATTTCCGGATATATGGTGCGTCGTCAGTGCGGCGATCAGAAAACATATTGGACCGCCCCATCCCCACACACAATAAGCGTAAAAGAGCGATTGTTCCTTTACCCTGAAGTTCTTAAACCTGTACAGATTATTCAATTTTAAAGGTATATGTGACCTGTAAAGTGTCTATTACTTATAGGAGACGATTGTTGTTACAATTTTTCGTAAAACAATGTTCCTGATTTATTAACTTAGTTAGCACTTACCACACGCATCGCCATACATTGAAAGCCACGATGTTCAGCCAGAAGAACGCAGACATAAAGGCGAAATATAATATAAATCCTAAAATGCAGACGTATTAATTGGATAATAATTGGAAAAAAATTGGGAAGACGTGAATCGAAGAAAAAGATGAATAAGACTATTTTTCCATACTTTTTAAAATAAGTGATAACTTTTTTATACATAATAACTTTATATGTATAATTATATGTACCGAGAGAAACACAAATGATATAATCGTCGTTTTCCATATTCGGACGTAAGTGCTGAATGGAGAGGACGGTATAGCTGACTGCCAGGGTTGTGACAGCGGCCATCATTGCCTTATCCTGTAACTCTCGCAATTCCGGCAGTATAACATAAATCGCCAGAGTGGCGATCAGGAAGATCGCCGAAATAATGCTGACAATACAAATCAGGGTGTTCTTCCATATCTTCGACATGCTGTCATCTATCAGCTCATCAAAGCACACCAGGGCGATTTCGCCTCTGTTCTGCATTTTGGCTATGCAGAATCTAATAAATAAAAGATTCATTAGATAAAAATCAATGCTCAGCCATGGACTAAGCGCGACATTAATTGACCATTCATTATAGAAAATATGTACACAATACTGCGTAGGACTTATTGCGCAATAATAACTTGTCGTAATAAATAAGCGTCGAGATACTACGTGAGCTCAGAAAATTTCTGAATACCAGGATTTTCCTCATATTTTTCAACATCCAGCTATGTGTATGTGTTTCTCTTTTTTTATTTCTTTTCTACTTCCATGAGCATGTGTATGATAAATTAATTCTTCACAGATAAACGCAATCGGTAAATAAACTCACGCCGTAGTTGCGGAGATTCTACCTGTCAAGCGAGATTTTGTCATGGTCGATGTCTTGCAGTAACCAAGCGGTGTCCTCCTCGTAGATAACAGTGAAGTTGTCATGCCTGCTCACCTCAGGATCCATTAGGAAGATACTTGAACAGTCTAGACGGATCTGTGTGCCGTCTGAGCAATTGGCCGAATGTTGCCATATCGTTCCCTCGGGACAACATGATACATCAATGGATGAACTAGGGGAGATTAAGCTCGTGAACAGACAGAGCCACAGCAACCAGAGACCTGTAAAACGTCGCATTTTGATCGTTCAAGCGCAAATGCAAAATGCAGTCGACTCGACTCTTATGTGAAAAGACACGCTTGCCAAGAAAATATAGCTTAAAATCACAGATTTCTATATATATAATATAGGTATATATATATAATATTTAGATCGCTGTCTCCATAAAATGAGGTGAAGCCAACTTGACAAGAGAGGGGATGACGGCTATCTTTACCCGATCATGACTGAACTATAACATGCTATATTTTAACTTATATATTATAATCGAAGCAAAATATGTACACACTAACACTACATTCACAAAGTAATGTATGTGATGACCGGGTAAATATGGTATCCTGGCTTCAGCTGACCCGTAACAAACTATAGCATGTTAGCGATCTACGTATATTATATAGAAATCTATGCTTAAAATACACTTATTATGTTCTCGTACAATTCAGCAATAACAAATGACAGTTACAAATGCGAAACTGTGACAAGGAATTATTTTTTCTCGTTAATTAAGTCAATTTCTTAGAAAGATTGTAATATTTGTTCAACAATAATCTTGTTATTGCAAGTGCTTTTGTATGTGAAGGTATTTTTTTATGATCTCTTAAATGATTTTTTAAATGAAATATTTTATTTCTGTAATATTACACGTTAAATTAACGAAGGATCTAGTGTATTAAAATAATAATGAAATTTTCATTAACGCTTCTGATTGTGAGTAGTGCAACGTATTACGCATTTCTCAAAAGTGAGTTTCCGCGTGCGTCACACGAGGGTCGGCCTGATACCAAAACATTTTTTATCAGTGATACTAGACCCGGTGTTATCACACGAGTGTATCAGTTATCCGGGAGTTATGAGATTTCTAGCGGAAAATAAAACGGGATTCTTTATAGATTAGGAAAATCAAGCTTCATACGACGCGGTACGTCCTATAGCTCTGTCTACGAATGTCGACATTCTCCTCTTTGAAATGATCCGATCCGGAGGACGCAGTAAGAGACGCAATGGAAAGAACGATAGAAATGGTACCCGTAACCCAGTTCAGTGTTAATGACAGATATACGATATGATACAATCGCTGCGAAAGAAGGAGGGACGGCTCTCTTAACTGTTAACTCTTTATTAACAGCGTTGGTCCACACAGCATACGTACGAGCGTATGCACACATGTATATGCAGGTGTCCTGTCAACGATGTATACTGTTTCATCGCGACTTTATTTTTAACGTTTTTTTAGAGTTTAAGGTATGCCATGCTGAAGCAGCATGAAATTCGGAGAGCACAAATTGATGTAGCGAATAATTCTTATCTTATTCAAATTATTATGAATAAGTAAATTTTTAATATTATCAATAATATTAATCCTTCCACGAATTAAAAAGTTATATTTAATTAGATTTAATTAGACTTAATTAAATTAGACTTACATTTAATGATGTGAGTCTAGTTAGTGAAGTTAACTACGTAAACACGAAGAGCAAAAGCTTCACAGCAAGTGTAAGTGCAAGTGTACAATAATTCACGCATATCACATTGCCTCTATTTTCAACACGGAGAGGTCCCGGCTCTCATGTGCAGGTGGCCTTGTCAGTAACTGAAATGCTAATTTCAACATGTCAAAACATATGTCTAAGATAAACAATCCTTGTCCAATGCCACTCGATCTTTCCCTAAGTTTCTGTTGATATTTACATCTTTTATTTATAATGATATATTGATCTCGTAATCTCCACCGGATAATACTTTTGCGAAATGATTGGCGTCATTTTAATGTATATTTTTCCTTTCTCTCGATTTCTATTTGAGTTTTTTTTTAGTATGATCTCCTGACCCGATCGTAACCATCTCGCCACGATAAATATCGAGATAAACTTTATGAACATGATACTTCCTATCGCAAATCATCAACAGAATCTATAAATCGCGTTTTACGATACGCTGTAAGAGTAATAATCGAACGAATATTATTGTCGTGTGTAATTTCTCAGAAAATCTTGATATTGAAAATAATTTTTACTTTTCAGTAAATTGTAGGATTAACCATGAATCGACAAAAATGTCACCTCGTTTGCTTGCCGCTACATCGCTGCAGGGACAACTTAATTAAAGCGATGTAAACGCCGTCCATGTTTAATTAGACACAATTGCCATATTACGTATAATGAGCGAGCGAAATAAACAATTGTCGCTTTTATGTCTCACGTGTCGTTCTTATCATGTCGCGTTTGTAAATATACGAAAGAAAGAAAAGTATTACATTGACAAATTTCCCGCTTTTCATTAAGATAATAAAATTTGTGTAAAACGAAAATGGAGGCAATAGGCGTGGGTTTTTTTATGATAGTGCAAAAATGAGTTACGAGTAAGATATCCGAGTAAGGCTAACAATAAAATGGGTGACGATCGTTTGCACGAGATATTTTATTTTATTAACAGGAAACGCACACAAACGAAAGCTCTTGATAATTGAAATGGCTTGCTTAATGCACTCTGTATCTCCACATCAAATTAGCTTTTCGAAATGTCACGATAAAGTATTAATCTCATCGTCTACTTTTATTTATAGAGATGGTTGCGACTTTTTCACAATATTGCACAGTGCGCTTATCTTTATATTAGTTTTTAACGACTTTAAGTGGATTCACGTTTTCTAAGTAGACAACGAAATATTTCTCCCAAGACACGTGCACATATGATGTATGCATTAATATTGGCTGCAAGTTGATTATCTAGTAATAATTTTCTTTAGTACAGCCACTTCCTTGTTTAGAAAACACAGACGATAGATTGAAATTGATTTTTTTATCGATGATCATGATATTTCTTATAATCATGCATTGTATAATGGTCCGGTTTTGATAAATTAATTGAATATTGATTTTGAACGGGTATTCTATTGCTAGGACTGTATTAGCTGTAAACGCGAATGATTGCAATTCTATGTAGACGTTTGCATTGTAAAACACCTATGGACTACGTTTGATGATTTTGCGTAAATGAAATAGAGGAAGGTGGTATTGAACACTTCAAATTTTTTTTTTTCTTGCATGGTGAAAATCGAGTGTAACATATTTATATAAACTAAAATTAAATTACAAAATATAATATTAAACATTATTCTTATATTTAAAAAAACCCTTTCAATCGTATTTTTCTAAAAATAAAAATATAAATATGGAATGAAAATATAATTTCATTTTTTAATATAAATATATAATGAAAAATGAAAATACATAACAAAAATAAAGAATAATGATGCTGTTTATATTGATAAACTAAAACGAAATTAGACTTACATTTAATGATGTGAGTCTAGTTAGTGAAGTTAACTACGTAAACACGAAGAGCAAAAGCTTCACAGCAAGTGTAAGTGCAAGTGTACAATAATTCACGCATATCACATTGCCTCTATTTTCAACACGGAGAGGTCCCGGCTCTCATGTGCAGGTGGCCTTGTCAGTAACTGAAATGCTAATTTCAACATGTCAAAACATATGTCTAAGATAAACAATCCTTGTCCAATGCCACTCGATCTTTCCCTAAGTTTCTGTTGATCAATTAGATAAATAAAATGATCGTTTATGAGACGGTAAAAAGGAAATGATTACTTAAATTATTAAATTCGAAGCATATAAATGATTTCTGAATATTTCTTTTAGCAGCTGAATACCTTTCTATACGAAAAAATTATGATATTTTAGGATTGATGAAAAAAAAACTTTAGAATGTGCGGTCTTTTCCATTATCGAAGATTTTTACAACACGAGACTTTAGAGAATGCAATACAACGATCCATGTAAGAAATTAGAAGCGCGGAAAATGATTTTGTAATGACAATTTAATTAATTATGATCAGCTTTATTATGATCGACGTAGATAAAACCGGTTTACAGGAGGTTTCTGTGAAAACATCGTACGAGGAGTAGAGTCGGACGCATAAAGACGAGGAAGCGGACACTCAAAGAAAGCTCACCTCTGATTGATGACGTGCTCAGCTGCCTGCAAATCACGTCGGACAACGACATCATCTTTCGCTCTTGTTACCGCATTTCCTGGTTCCTCGATGTACAAAGCGAGTCCGCTTCTCGCCGATGCAAATAGCTAAGCGACGTCAAAGAAGCTGTCGGCAACACGAATTTCAGAATATTCTCCAAGGGAAGGATCACTTGTTTGGCGCGACACACACGATTAGAATCAACAAACTGGCGGGCCACACTAGCGTTTGTCACAGAAGAAACAATTGTGGTTGCTTTCCGGAGTTCTCATGAGAAGTTCCTCGCAATTGAACGGCAAGATCCACGATTTTGCTACTGGTCGCTTTTATCACAATTTTCCGCAAATAACTTCCTGTCAACGTGATACTTCTTCTTTCTCTCTCCTTAGGCTGCTGCAAACGTGAAGAGCGTGAAAAGATTGTGACGACCTTATCGGCTTCTTATCACTTCACTTTTACTCGAAAACTGATGAAAAAAAGCAGTTTTCTATTTGAATGATCCAGTCCGGATGCACGCGCGTTATCGAAATCACGAGAAAAGCCCTCGACCCATGTCACGTGAGCTTTTATAGAGAAGTCTACGTGTTTTGACGGTCAATACGATTGACTTCTGATAAGCGATTGGAGTAATGAGTTGCGTTAGAGCTCACACAGTTGTGCTGCGAGCGAAACTAAACGTGACGGTAGACTGTTCTCCGGAGCTTACCAGCGATGCGGAGACGGTTGAGAGATAGCGCCGATTCTCTCCCACTTTTGCCTTTGAATGGACTTGAACGTAGTGCGACCAAGTTGCGTATTTTTTTTTTTTTTCTTTTCCTTTCCTGCCTTTTTCCTCACTTAGAACCTTTCGGCTGCTTCGAGGACGTTGGCCAGAACGGAACAATGATCCACTGAATCGTTAGATTTCTTTTTAGATGCACCGCGATACACAAATAGGAACGCGATCGTGAAAGCTGTCGAGGAAGGGGTGGTACTAGAAAAGAAATACGCTGCAAAAAGATAGACATTTAATTAATTAAGAAGAGAGGAAAGGGGGCATTGCATGTGTTATCGTAGTGTTTTATGAACGTCACGCTGCATGATTATTCTCGTAGAGAAACGTGTTAGAGAAGTTATACCGTTATGCATTCAATATCTTTTTTATACACAGAAATTAAAATGCTGATGATACATGCATCCGTAAACGCACTGCAAACACTATCTGTGAACTATTCTGAAAGTTTAGAATTATCCTCTGAAGTATTGTATTATACGCGTACATGCGAACGAAGGCCGCGGTGAAACGGTAGGAAATTCTGATAATTACTAAGATTAATTACTATCGTTAACGTTCAGTGCGATATTTCCTTTAAACCGCAGTCGGTTAATCGCATTCGAAGAGTCGCTTGATATGTGGAACATGCAAACGAGTAACGAACCGTACTAATTGGCACGCTCGTGGCTTATTAAGCACGCTATTAGGCGAATTGATTAATTTATCAATCTTGAAAGTTGTCCAAAGAATATGATAAAAGTTATTACGTTCATGATGTAATGAGAAATACCTAAAATCTATTAACATGTTAAGATATTAAAAATCTTATATATAATAATAATTATTACCTACTATATATAATAATATCTTAATATGTGAATAGATTCAACAAATTTATAAACATAGTTGTAATTTGTTATTATTGTATGTAACATATAATAATTATATATATAATATTATAATAGTTATATACATTATGAATACGTAAACGATATAGAAAATATTATATAGAGTATTTTAAATGAGAACTGTGTATTTTCAGAACTTCTCAGATAGTTTTAAATCTACCTTTTTAAAAATATGGAGCAAATATATAATCTGCATTTTTTAAAGAGTTACAAATTTAAAAATATGATTAATAGTACATTATGTACTATTTTTTTTATTCCAAAGGCCGCTAAATGAATTTTTTAGTCCAAAGGCCGATAAATGAATTTTCAATGCTTCTTGCATGCTGTGATTGCTTCTTGTACGCTTCCCGGTATTCATGCGTAAATGGAGTGTTTACCACGCACTGTGTTTACGGACGAAAAGTCGAGCTTGCCGTTACGAAAAAACTTGTCCATCTCTTTCTTTTACACGTTTTTATATTGCGCGGCCTAAGCCTTACATTTAGTATTTCGCGGTCTCTATACGGGACGCGAAAATTCATTTCGCGGCCTGAGGACTAAAAAAATAATTTTTAAAGTAATGAAATGTATGGGATCGCTGAAAAAGAGAAGGAGACCGTCGCGACAAAATCGATTAACATGCCTGTGGCTGGTCCTCTCATGGTCTATGACGTCAAAGTACGATTATAAATGCAACGATTCTGTTGATTCTGGTTTTATTACACATAGACCTAGCCATGTGTCTCCATGAAAAAAAATCGTACTCTTCTTATAACTTTTCTTGTTTTTATTGTTATGAATTTTTTATTCATTGCATGCAGGTCCAGTGTTTAATTTGAGTTAAGTGTGCAGCAGATTGTTTCTTCTGGGATAAAGAAAGTACTATTTTTTTTCTTCGATGTGCTTACGGAATATACCAAAAAATATAAACTACAATAGAAGGAAAATGTTAAATCAAAATTATTGATAAATTTTATTAAGCATTTCGCAGTATTATATTTCATTTAATTCATTTAACAATAAATATAGCTTAATAAAAGGGAAAAAATAAATTAAATCCCGAATGAGGGATTTAATCAGCATTCTCCTATATAAGCTATGTGATTCATAATATATGATAAATACTACCGGAATAGCCATTCACCCGATTATCTTCGCTTCACTTTTAATTGCAGCTCCTGGAAATGCTCAAGTTCTATGCTCGTTTCGAGATCAGTGAGGAGACTGGCAATCCCTTGACGGATCACGACATGACGGAATTGCATTACACTAAAATTACGTCTCTGCAGGTACATAGTTTCCATCGTTACAATTTAAAAATAATTTTATATACGCGTTAAATAATTTTTTAAATGCAAAGTAATAAGCAAATTCTTGATTTTTATATTATGTATAAATTTTATCTTTAACGAGTTATATAATTTTCGTAAACCGATTGTTGATATAATATCATAAAACAAGAATTTCAGTTATGATTAATCCTATTAGTTATGTCATCAATACTGCATGGATATTATACATAATAAATGTTCGAAACCTTGAGATTAGCATTAACTTTTATTATTCTACAGAATGCGGTTTTCGCGAAATTTCCGGATCTAAGAAGTTTTGCATTGGCCAACGTAGCCAGTGTCAACATCAGAGATGCTTTGTACAAACATTTCGGCTCACTCAGGTGAGTTCTGCATATAATAAGATTATTATAAAAAATACACAAATTATTAATCTCAAAAATAATATTGCAATATAATTTATTATCAGGAAATAATTATATTGATATGTAAAATTATGAAGCTCTAGCTTCGTTGAATCGTTGCGAATACTTAATATTGGATTTTATTTTCAGTCAAGAAAAATTGAGGTCTATCGCGAGTTATTTGAATTTAGTACCGCCTACGGAGCGAGAAAAGGACGAGAATTGGTATCGTCTGGATATAGACTTTTTGCGTGAATTGCTGGTGGGTATAAAAAAAAAATCGAGAGACCGCGAGAGATTTTATGCCAGCAAGACCGGTCTGAATTCAGAGAGCGTGCATTTTAATTTTCAGATATCGCGACACGAGCGTAGGCCATCGCAGCTTGAAGAGCTGAATGAGATGCCTCTTTACCCAACCGAGGGCATCATATGGAACGAGAGTATCGTCCCGACCGAATATTTTTCTGGCGAGGGCTGTCTGGCTCTGCCAAAATTAAACTTGCAGTTCCTTACACTGCACGATTATCTTCTACGAAACTTCAATCTATTCCGTTTAGAATCTACATGTACGTAAAAAATAGTAGAAAAATAGACAGCGTTGTCGTTTAGTGTCGTATCTAAATTTATGATTAAATACATCAGTCGTTAAATGTATTGTATTTCCGCTGTTTGCAGATGAGATACGACAAGACATCGAGGACGCCGTGAGCAGACTAAGTCCTTGGTACGTTAAAAAAAATCACCGTGTTGCCTTCTCTTTTCACAAAAAGTAAAAGTAATTTTTTTTTCCTTCACTTGTAGGCGGGCAGAGGACGGTGGTGTCTACTTCGGTGGATGGGCCAGAATGGCACAACCTATCACGCAATTTGCGGTGGTCGAGGTAGCTAAGCCTAACGTCGGCGAGAACAGACCATCAAGAGTTCGTGCCGACGTAACGATAAATCTTAGCGTTCGTAAGGAGATTAAATCAGAATGGGAAAATCTTCGTAAGCACGATGTGTGCTTTCTTATCACTGTTAAGCCGCCGAATCCTATCGGTAAGATAAGACGGATATTAAAAGAATAATTTGAAATTATTTCATAAATAAGAATCACACAATTATTGAGAGAAAAACCTGCTGACATATATTAATAATTTGTAATGTTATAATTAACGACTCGCTATAATAATAGAAAAATTAATTACCTTATTGTCAAAATTGTAAATTATTGTGTTGTAATTACAGAATTTATTTGCAAAGATAAATTATCTCATTAGAAAAACAGCAAAAATTTTTCTATTTTATTATCAATAAAACACGTTTTATTACAATCAAATGACGATTATGTCATCGAAGTTTAGCCACTTTTATAAACAGCAACAATTTTGCTATAATAAAATTTGTTTATTGTAATAGCCTTATATAATAATAATAATAATAATGTAAATCAGAGTTCACAGATAATTGTTGTATTATCGCAGGCACTAAATACAGCCATAAACTCCCCTTTGTGCCACAAGTGGGTCTAACGACGGTGCGCGGATGCGAAGTCGAGGGTATGCTCGATTCGAACGGTAGAGTGATAGAGGATGGCCCTGAACCGAGGCCGATTTTACCAGGCGATTCGCGCACTTACAGAGTATGGCTGGACTGTAATCAATATCGAATCGATATGGACAACGCTAGTCATGGCGGTGAAGACGTGTACGAGGGATTTAATATCATAATGAGGCGTAAACCTAAGGAGAACAACTTCAAAGCTGTGTTAGAGACTATAAGGGAGCTTATGAATACTGAATGCGTTGTGCCCGATTGGTTGCACGACATAATCCTCGGATACGGCGATCCGGGTGCAGCATGCTATTCTAGGTAATCTCTATCTATTATCTATCTATACACTTACCAATAATAAAGTTGATGGTGTATTTCTTGTTTGATTGCTTGGAACGGCATCGATTGTAAACGGATGAATAAATCTGAGATTTTCGTAGATATATTTAATAGATATGTTCCTTCTATAATTTAGTAGATATATTCTTCTGTAATATATTCTTCTGTAATTATATTTTTCTGCAGTATTTCCGCCTTCCAAGTAATATAATTGTTTATCTTAATTATTTGTTCGAAAAATACGTTAACATTTTTGTACTTTCTGTAATAGTTCGCACAATTTATAATTTACATTCGTAATCTAGAAGAAATATATTAAATTCGTAATGTTTATAATTGAACACTAAAAAATGTTTGATGCAACAGAATGCCAGATGAAATCGCAATGATAGACTTCAACGATACGTTCCTCGATATCGACCATCTACGGGCCAGTTTTCCTCAGTACGAGATCAAAACGAATCCGGAGGACGAAGGAAATCTGGTGCGGCCGTTTCAGTTAACTTTTGAGGATGTCCTTGCAAAACACAACAATGATCCGATCAAGAAGGTTATTACAATTAAACCACACGTGCCGCCCAGTAGAGGTCCATACAGAGCGAACGAACCGAAAAAGTTAGTATTTACTTTATTTGTTGTTGTAGTGTATTAATAGCATGTTAAAGCGTGTTATTTATTGAACGGAGGAAAACCATATTGCTACGTTGCAGAAATCAGATTCCCTTTACGCCGACGCAAGTTGAAGCTATACGAGCTGGAATGCAGCCAGGTTTGACGCTGGTCGTCGGCCCGCCTGGTACCGGCAAAACGGATGTCGCTGTACAGATCATATCGAATCTATATCATAATTTTCCCTATCAGAGAACGTTGATCGTGACACACTCCAATCAAGCGCTCAATCAATTGTTCGAGAAAATAATGGCCCTTGATATCGACGAACGGCATTTACTGCGTCTTGGTCACGGAGAGGAGGCTTTGGAGACGGAAAAGGATTTTAGTCGCTATGGTAGAGTCAATTACGTTCTTGCCAAACGTTTGGATTTGCTCTTGGAAGTTCAGAGATTACAGGTATATTTCTTGAGTTATCCGTTTGATTATGTCGAATTGTTACAATGTATAATATTTCTTTTTTTTTTTCCAGGAATCTTTGAATGTAAAGGGCGATGTCGCGTATACATGCGAAACAGCGGGTTACTTCTTCATGTATCAAGTATCCACGAGATGGAATCGTTTTCAGACCAGAGTTAAACAAAGGCAGCACACAAGTGAAAAATCCGATTTATCTTCTATAATTGATGAGGAATTTCCCTTCCACAAATTCTTCGACAACGCCCCGCAACCACTTTTCAAGCGAAATTCATACGAGGAAGACCTCAAGATTGCGTGCAGTTGTTTTAGGTAAAAACACGTACATTAAACTCTTAAGTTTTGAATCCATAATATTAGAAATCGCTTCAAAATCTTGGACAAAGAAAGAATTAGTAAATTACATTTGAACCATTTCGTTATTTGACTAATGTAATCGATCAGTTCTTTCTCCAAGATTTCGAAACAATTTCTAGCATCGTGGATACATTTTATAAGATGAGTAATCATAACTGCTTCTCATATCGATATTTTCTATGCAGATATATTGAGAGGATATTCACGCAATTGGATGAATTCCGCGCTTTTGAATTACTGCGATCGGGACTCGATAGATCGAAGTACTTACTCGTGAAGGAGGCCAAAGTAATTGCTATGACCTGTACACACGCAGCGCTTAAACGTCGCGAACTGGTCGACATGGGTTTTAAATATGACAATATCCTCATGGAGGAGTCCGCACAGATTTTGGAAATAGAGACTTTCATACCGTTGCTATTACAGAATCCCCAGGACGGATATAATCGCTTAAAACGTTGGATAATGATAGGAGATCATCATCAGTTGCCACCGGTCATCAAAAACATGGCCTTTCAGAAATATTCGAACATGGAACAATCGCTGTTCGCGAGATTCGTAAGACTGGGCGTACCCACTGTCGATCTCGACGGCCAAGGTCGTGCTAGACCCAGTATTTGCAATCTCTACAACTGGAGGTATAAGAAACTGGGTAATCTGACGCACGTAGAACGAAGTCCCGAGTATCTGGTAGCGAACGCCGGTTTTCTATATGACTTCCAACTAGTGAACGTCGAGGACTTCAACGGCGTTGGCGAGAGCGAGCCTAGCGCCTATTTCTATCAGAATCTCGCTGAAGCCGAATATTGCGTCGCGGTATTCATGTACATGCGCCTGCTAGGATATCCGGCGGACAAGATCAGTATTCTGACCACGTACAATGGACAAAAACATCTAATAAGGGATGTAATAAACATTCGGTGCGCGAATAATCCTCTGATAGGCCGACCGAACAAAGTAACAACGGTCGACAAATACCAGGGTCAGCAAAATGATTACATTTTGCTGTCTCTGGTCAAGACGCGCGCAGTTGGTCACTTGAGAGACGCGAGACGTCTAGTTGTGGCGATGTCGCGTGCTCGTCTCGGTCTCTATGTCTTCGCTCGCGTGTCCCTCTTCAAGAACTGCTTCGAACTGACACCAGCGTTCAACCAATTGATGCAGAAACCGTTGAAACTACAACTACTGCCGCAGGAACTCTATCCCACCGAGCGACCGAACGACGCTGTGTCCTCGATTGTCCCGATGGAGATCGAGGATATGCCGCACATGGCTAAGTTTGTTTACGATTACTATATGGAAAAAGTCAGTGGAATGAAGGTAATTTATACTCATAAATTAAGTTACATACACATTTCTTCATTATAATAATTATGTCTCTTCGTCATTTTTAGGAGTCGCAAAAGATGTGGCAGAAACCGGGGACCATGCGGACAATGGGTAGTCCGACGCATAAGGTTTCTGTTCATCCAGGTGCCGATGACGATACTGACGACGAAGAAGAACTCAATCAAGATAGCACTGAAATGAAAGAATCCAAGGAAGAAGTAGCGGCGAACAAATACGAACCTATAAAGAATTTGGTCGAAGATCCTCCAAGCGAGACCGAAGATGACCGCTAAGTGACTCTATGATGTGTATGCATAAGACTGGTACAAAACATTAGGAAATTAACATTTCGGAAGTGAAATAATCAATTTTAGCACAAAAATAAGATAGCTACTCGCTACAGTTATCGTAAACAACATTCGTTAACAATCAATTCATTGACATCATTGTATTATACTTAGCAAGAATAAGTATTTTATTACGGATATTACTATACAATATATAATGTATATAGCCTTATATATCAAATTAAGATAACTATAATTTTTACAGATGTCAGTCGTATCAAAATTTATTTTCTCTCCTTGCAAAATTTTCTATAATCGCTTTGAGCACTTCATACATGTGTACCTCACGAGAAGAGGTCCATCTTTTTCTTGTCTACTGCCCTCTTTCGACGAGTCTCTAGTTTCTGCAACTTTGACTTCTCTTGCTTGTTCGAAGTGTTTTTCGAGTCATGTGATACGTTCCGTCGTACTCTCGAGGGCACGTAACTGTCGTCGAACTTCATCAGTTTACTCGAGGATTTGAAGTCAGGTTCATATTCTTCTATGGACGGATTGAGACCCTTGGAATTAGGCACGTATTCCTTGAAAACGCTGTCTGGTATCACTGTGGTGGCACACGGATCGTAAATCTCATAATTCGTCTCCAGTTTCTTAACGGAGTTCGGCACATAGCTCACGTTTTCCACGACGAGGCTTTTGCCTTTACACAGAGTCGGCGTGTATTCGTTCGACGTTAATCGCATATTCTCCAGTGCACTCTTCCGACTGGGCACATATTTGAAGTCTGAACATGATTTCTTTGTCTTCGGTGCGTCCGGAATATATTCCTCCAACGGCGCGTTCTCCAGATCTTCGAAGAGTGTATATATCGAACTCTTCTTCCTCTTTAAGTCTTTCTGCTCCTTCGCGGTAGCGCTCGGAATCTTAGTCTTCTTCGGGGTAGTCTGTGCTGACTTCTCCGGTGTCTTCTTCAATCGATCGGTTTTTGTCGGCGTTTGAATAGGAAATTTTTCTTTTTTCGTTCGTTTCGCTGTACCGTCCTTCGTTTTCACTTTACTCCTTTTCGAGGTCTCGTCACCTGGTTCTCGCTTCACCGGTTTCTTCCGGGCTGGTGACACGTGCACCTTGATCGTAGGCAAAGACGGCATGCCGTTTGTGTTTTCTGGCAATTCGAAAGTATACCTGTTAAATGAAATTAACGAATTATATCATATATGATATGTATATACATTCCTGATTGCGATAAAATAACAATTCGTAATCTTATGGAATATTGTTTCTATGTATAGCAAACTCAATTTGTCATCGACTTTTAAGAAATGCATACCTATTTTTCATATTAAACTATTAAAAAAATATTTTATTCGGGGAATTTCTAAAGTTATATATTCATATAATATAATTTTTCTATAACTTTTATCTCTCCAATTCTTTCTTCTCTTTTGAAATTAATTTCTTGCGAATTTTCATTAAGCATTAAGAAAAGATAAACAGTAATTTAAGTCTTAAATTAAAAATTAATCTTACATTCTCAGAAAAAGTTCTCGAAGACGATTGCATTCTTACGTGACTTCCAGCTGACGGGTAGACTTTCTCCACTCGCAACCCCGACTCTCGCGATGCGATCTATCATCCTGACGGCCGTTCCTCAGAACCGCTCGCTCCAGTATCTTGTAAAGAGCCGCCCAGTCCTCGATTTGCAGCCACTTGTTTGTGATGACCTTCTGGTTCTTGATCTCCACCGTTCTTTCCTGCACGGTGACCACGGCAGTCGCTAGGCAATTGTCCGAGGCCTGCGGACACGTTGCAATACGATATAAGCAATAAGCTCTGTATAAATCACTGCGTGTTCGTTCCAAAAAATTAATAATCGAGAAACGCTCCGCTATAACTCGCGATAATTAAAACGCACGAATTATCGGGACATTATCTCCTATCTCCGACCGTCAAAGAGCGAATCCGTACGTTCTATATCGTTCACTTATTGCAGACGATATTTCTCGATGGTTTGATAAAAAAAGGAAATAGGAGGAAAACCACTCGACGTGATCGTAATACCATTTTCTACTTTCGACCGTACAAAACGTGAATCGTACATTCTATCGTTCACTTGTTGCAGGCGATATTTCTCGACGGTTTGGGAAAAAGAAGAGGGAAACCAATTCGTATCGTTCGATTTTCGTAACAGATGTTTCACAAGCGCACGGCGCCTGCTTGTGCGCGCGCGCGCGCGCGCTCTTGACAGCCAGCTGTTGACATCTATTGCACGCGGTACCTTGATCACTTCCAGATACTGGCCGTCCCGGAACATATTCGCGCTCGGCACGCCGCTCGGATCCCGGTACGCCTCCACCGCCTCGCGTGGTGGTCGACCCGCGCGATGCGATAATCAAGGACGTCTCCCACGGCCGATGACGAGCTGACGTCTACGCTATAGGCGCGACTCGCTCGCACACTGCCTTCGTGGCGCACGCTCGTCGCCCTCGTCCTCGCCGGGCGGCGCGGATTTGGAGACTTTTGGAGTGCGGGACGACAAGTTCGACTTCGCTCTTTTACTCGCTCGCTCGCTCGCTCGCTCGCGTGTGAAGCCACGTCTTTTTTTATATTCATATAATACCGTAACAAATTTCTCGAAACGTTTCCATTCGGCCGTGTCTCCCGCAGGTAAAACGCAAAGTCAAAATTAGGTCATAATTAATGATACCACAGAATGTCATTTGATAACGTCGCATTTGATATTTAAAAATGAACTTAAAAATGGACAAATGAGATCATCGTTTATGAGATTATTGTTTTGCTGAAGTGCTATGTCGAAATTAATTTTGAGCAAACTGCTGGAGTTAAGTATCGATATTTTAGAAAACATGAGTATTTCTGTATTTAGCAAATATCTGTATTGCAGTAGATTACAAAATTTTATGCAAAATTTTGTCATTATGTAATTTAATATTAATATATAAACGTTTTATTGGAGCAGGTAGAAAACACAAAGTCATAATTAAATTATAAGACGTCTTTTATTTTCACTTAAAATGAATAATTAATTATAACTGACAAATAAGGTCATGTAGATATGACATATATTCCGCGAAACTTGTGCCCATTTCCACAAATATCTAGAATTAGGTTTTGAGATTTTTACGTTCGACGAAGGAGGAAAGAGATCGATATATTTCCGCGTCGATAACTCACGCATTTATTATTCAGCGTTATCAGTCGAGATTAAAGCTCGCGAAAGAATCAAAGTTGCTCGAAGAAAAAAGGCGCCTTTTTTTTTGTCTGATTAAAAACTTGCAGAAAGACGTCTTTGATGCAATGTGGAAACGTTCATGATGGTGATTAGCGCTTCGATAATTGTTATCACTCCTCATAAAGGCAAAATCAAAGCTAAAATAGAATATATATTATATATAAAAATCAATATAATAATAATAGCATTATATTGCGATCTCCAGTGTGACAGGGAAATAGAATTAGAGCGCACATATATGTCTGCATTTTTTTGTGAAAGCAGCTTTTAGAAAGAAGTATATGTCGTTAGCATAAATTGCAATTACAATATATAATAAAATTATTAAATTGAAAGAAATAAAGCAACTTGATAATTTTAAACTGATGATTCTCCTTAAAAAAGAGCCCTGTATATGAATTCCCGATAAACTGATGATTATGTCATTCATATTCGAAAAGAAAATTTCACCAATTTAGCGAACAATTATGTAATCGTCGCGGTCGTAATTCCTTCAAGGAAGACTGTTCATCTCAACTACACTACTTTTCTGTTATTCTCTCTCTCTCTCTCTCTCTCTCTCATACCTCGGTATTGGATACAACAGTGCAGCTGATGATCTGGGTGCACCCAATGGCTTCTCAGTGCATTTTATATTTCGTTTCAGATACAGACGGTGGGGTGCAGCTGAAAGATGTGGATCTCTCGCATAAATTGACCGGGAAATTTAACGTATTTAATAACTAATCAGTTGCTTTTCATTTTCACATAAGTGATATTATAGTCTAAGGTCTAAAGTTATGTATTTTTTATCTTATATACAAATAATGATATCACTACTTTGATGATAAAGTATAATAACACAGTTTATAACCTCACTTTCAACGCGAGTCAACAAGATTTAGTAAAGAAGTAGCACACGGTCTCAAGTTTGTACAGACCGTATAATTCAATTGTGTCACTTGTCAGAATAAAAAGGGACGTGCATTCAATTGAGGTATGACGTCACAATCACAAGTGAGAATTATCTGGTTTAGTGTAAATGGAAAGTAACTAAAAATCTCACGCGAGGTCAGCCAGAGACAGTCGAAAAGATATTTAAAAAATTTACGAAAATTATTATGGTGAAATCGCGCATAACAAGCATTATTTCTACAGTTGGAAGGTGAGGATACCGAGTGTGAACTGCGAGAACAATCATAAGATACGATAAACAGTGTTGAACGATCACGCGATTACAGTCATCAGCGTGCACTACGAATCAGCTGATCGCGCACGAACGACGGAACGAACGTCCTTGCACGTCCTTTGGTCAGGATCGCGTGAACCATGGCGCGCAAGGATTCTCCTTCGATCTTCGAACGATTGCAGATCCTTATGGAGGATGAAATGGGACCAGGAAGGGTACGCCACATTTTTCTAACCCGCCTCGCCGCGCACTTCTTAGTTTGTACAAAGTACAAGATACAAATTAACAAATGTTAATTAACTGTATGTTACACATAGAAAATATCATTCATTTGCTAAGAAAAGTGATTGCTTAATTTACTTTCTTTTAAGAAATTATTACCTTTACAAAGAATATCTTATTGATAATAATTTTAAATTTACTTATATTTTATATATACTATATATGTACTAAATTTTAAAAAACTTATTAATTTCCTATATAATAACGTAATTATTATATATAACATATGTTATATAACATTTATATTGTTGAATGGAAAATTATAATATTGATGTAATTATTGAGATTTATATTTTGCAGGCTTATACTTGCTATGTTATTTATTATATCTTTTTCTTCTTTAGCTTATTACTTACGGAATCGCCAGTGCCGGCCTGTTTGTAGCCCTGTACAAAATTAGACCAGTGAGTATAAATTGAGTCCATCTAATTATCTGTCTGCCTCCATGGACCTTAGGATTGATTCTTTTTTGTTGCATTCCAGTTCGCCAAGTTCACAAAACCATCTAATGTCCCATTGCATTTCCTGCAATCACGAGTTCCACTTCAGGGTACTGTACAGCGAGTGGAACCAAGCTCTACCAGAGTTCTACTAATGGTCAATCACCGACCTTTACTGCCTTTTATTCACTTTAACAGCAAGACTTATTTGCCTGTCAAAATTGGTGGCGTTAACATTACAGGCAACGGTAGGTACTGAGTTGATCACGAAATCTATAATATAATTATTTTCAAACTGTGAATCAATTTTATAGGTGTAAGTTGGTTGCAAACTGTGCTCAATGAAAAACTCATCACGTTTGTGCCTATAGTTAAAGAAAAGGAGTATTTGGAATGTGTGGTTGCAATGCCACAGAAAAATCAAGTGAGAAAAACAGATTATATTCATATTTGATGCTTTCCAACAAGACATAGAGACAGTATAACATATTGATCACTTTATTTTTGTTTAGCATTGGTAACAAGATGAAAATAGGTAAAATTCTAAAAAACTTTTCAAATCGTTTCAAATAATTAAAACATAAGCTCGATAGTTAATGAGAGTCAAAGCATGGTAATTTGAGTGCTAATTATAAATGTTCTTTCTTCAAATAACGTCAACAACTATTGATCACAATTGATACTTCACAATTATTGATATATAGATTAAATAAAAAACATTTACATTAATAAATAACTCTTCAATTATCGCGCTCTTTCGATCTTATGACCTAATTTTTTACATTTTATCTTTATTCAATTTATTTGATTGATTGTTTTGACTCTCCTTTGAGACATTTTCAACAATAACTTAAATACTCCCAAAAAATTATTGCTAAAAATAAAATTTTGAGCAGAGTCGAAAAGTTCATTCAAATAAATTAAGAGTAAAGACATTTATTTTATTAATTAACACTCCAATTACCACACTCATTAGCCCTCAATCTTACGTTTTATTTTCGAAAATGAAATAATTTACTTGTGTCACACTGTGTCATGTATGTTTCTTGCTGGAAAGCACCCAACATTAAATATTTATACTGCATTCATGTATCATTTGTATAAATAGGACTCGTTAGAGATTGGCGAGGAATTAGTCAAATTAGGCCTAGCTACAGTACATGAACCTTGGATAAAGCTAAAAGATAAGCAAGTTCTAGCATATAAAAAATCTTTAGCAAATGCGCAAAAATGGGCAGTACGTAGGAGAAATGGATATTGGCATTTTGTTAAACAACCAACTGTTCTATGGAAGACACAAATGTTCATGATTGATAAAATGAAATCATTATTGCCCATGAATGTAGTGAAACGGCTTGATTTGTAAGTGTTCGACGTATTTCGACAATAAACTTCCAGAGTAATATATATTTTTTAATAGTTTATACAAGAGAGAGAGACAATGTATATATCATGTACTTAAAAGATTTTTAAATAAAGGTTTAATAAAAATTTGTTTTTACAATCAAACTTCGAAATCTTTTGAAGCTTTCAAAGTGGTCAAAAGTAACAGCTCTAAAGTAAATATCTGGTTTATTAAAACAAAAAAATGACACATTTGGAGGTACAAACCTAATGTTGAATTTTGTTCTTTGGCACTTCAAATATATATCTTAATTTATTTGATATAAGATATGTATAAATACACATTTACATGTTGCAAGTAAAATTTTTGTTGGGTGAAGGATTTTTGGAAAGTCTTAGATATTTGCATAAGTAATAACTATCGAAAAAGATGATTTATTTGTATAGTTGTCAAACTGTACAATTCTTATAATTATCTTACATCTTGCACCTGACACCATATAACAAAGTTATTATTTATAATAATCGATTAATTTAACAAAAACACTTATGTCAGTTCTTTAACTATCTATAGCACTTGTTTTAGGATTTATTATTTCTCACTTGTTGAAACTTGTGTAAATTACATTTTAATGTCCATGACATTATGATATAGTTACAATTATATGGATATTATCCATACTATAAATAAAAAAGATATAAAAAATTACAGAAAATTATTTTGCAAGCATCGATGCAAAATAACTTCAATATTTTGACAAGATTGTTGCTTGTTTCCTTAAAAAAAAAAAAAATATTTGTGCTGTGAGCTAATCATTTCAATATTTTGATATATATTTTGCATATTTGAACTGAAAGCATAATACAAATAAAGCTATAGATATTCAGTCTGAAGTCTAAGAATAATAAAGATTGCGAAAAAAAGAATACCAAATTCTTTTTATATCATATCGATTTAGATACAATTAAGACATAAAGTATAAAAATTAGTACATATACTATATGAATGAAAAACGTATAATAAAATTTGCAAAAATCTTTCAACTTCATATATACATTACAGTCACCAACATACAACTTTTTCTAAATTTTTATCCTCATTTTTAGTCACTGTAATAAAGCTGATAGATTTCTCTAATACATCTTTCACATTCTTATCTCTGGAATATACAAGTTATTCATTATCAATATCAACTAGGAATGTGATTTTATATAAAAAAAATAAAAATCAAAGTATGAAACTTTTAAAAGCAATTAGTTTAAAAAATCAAATTTGAAGATTAAGTCAATTTTTTCAAAGATTTTCTCTTAACCTTAAGGCTCCCATAAATTTTAATAATCTTGATTTTGAACAACTTATTTTTTGTAAGACTTATGTCTTAAAATCATAGCACCTATAATGGATCACATAACTCGTATACACACAACTTGTATACGTATACTCACGTATATATACGCACACATATTATATACGCATAACTCGAACATAACAATGTGGATAATATAAATGCATAAGCAAAGAGATGAGAGAAACCGTTAATCTATATATCCTCAACCTATTTTTTAGTTTAATGGAATGTCTGAAAAATATGGAGTGTACCGTTCAACAAGTGTTGGTGGTATCACAAATATATCGTGGTTTATTTTTTTTTTTATTACAGATCGTCTTTTGGACGGTTTGTTTCCCGTTTAACTTTCTCGGATTGTGATTTTTGCTCTGTTTGTTTTGCAGAAGCATTCTGTTCCACTTTTACTTTCTTTTCGGATTGTGTCTTTGCAGTATCCTCTTTTTTATTGCTCTTTTCGAATTTTGGGGAATTTGATTTCGCATCGTCAACTGGTTTTGCATTGTCCTTTTTGACTTCGGCATTCGTAGATGATTTAGTTTCCGATGGTTTCACATTGCTAGCTGTAGCCGTAGGTTTATCTGTTTTAGGAACTGAAGATGATTTTGGCGCAGCAGTGGTTTTTGGTTTAGGTGTGGTTGTGGGAGCAGCCGTTGGTTTAGGCGTTGTCTGGGAAGCTCTGTTCGACTCGATCGGTTTTACTGTCGTAGAACCGGTATCTCGTTTGACTCTTTCTGTCTTCGCACCAGAAGCAGCGACGTTTGACGAATGCTTTTCGCTCCTTGTATGAGAAGATTGTTTTGCACTATCAGCTAAATCAGGGAAAGCTTGTTTCAACGGGACTCTACCGAGATAGTTTTTAAACGGAGTGCCAAACCACAAAAATCCGTTATGTATATAAGCTGAACTTATATCATGAGCTGAGCCATCGTCTGAAGTAAGTATTTCAATAATGTTACCAGATGCATCTATTCTTAACACCAAACTTTTTTGCTTTGGATCACTTAAAAACTCTATGCCTTGATGCGATCCAATTGCATGCAAAATTCTCTCCGTGTAGGGATTAGGATAAACGTCATTTAATAGTTTAAATGGCAATTCCATCGTCACAAACAATCGTACCAACATTTTTCTCAAATAGGGATGTGGTATGAGAGACTGGTATATTTGAGGAAGCTCAGGATTATTAGTAGTAACAATTAAAGAAAGAAGAAAACCACCATGACCATCGCTGTGAATATTGTCCGGTGCACCCGGTAATCCATCAATGAAAATCTCGTGCTGCCCTGCCTTCGGTCCTTTCAGATTATATTTCATAATACGATTTCTTACTGTTTCCGTCACAATTACGAAACTTTCGTCATCACTTAATACAACACCATTTGCGAATGCAAGATTTCGTATCAATACTTCGTTTTCCTTCTTAGCTGCATTATAACGTATAAGTCTGTAAATAATACAATTAATTTAAATTTATATGTACATAAATATATATGAATAGTGTAAAACATTTAGAATTTGCATCTTTTTTTATTACCTTCCTGATGGATTCATTAGAAATGTCATTACTAAATCATTAAGAGCAAAGTCTGTGCTACTGTCAGTCCAATACATATCTCCATTTTTTGCGATATCTATGCTATTTGGTATCCGTGAAACTTTTCCATCAATCGGTTTGGTAACGTTCACTATATTTGTATATTCTCCGGTTGCAACGTTTACTTTAAAAATTCCATAATAAGCGTCCACTACATATAAATTGCCTTTCTCATCAAACTTTAATCCCAATGGTCTTCCACATTTTTGTTCTTGCCAAATGCCATCTGTAAATTTCGTAAAGAAAAATACGTCAGTGTTTTATTTATATATTATACTTTGATATACTTAATTGTATTAATTTTTTTATTACACTAAAATTATTTATATTTATTAGTTCTGTATTACTTTAAATTTAAATACATATATGATCAAGTTTTATTTAAGCTAAAAAATATTAATTTCATTTAAATGTTTTATTATTTTGGTTTATTATCCTTTTTTTTCTTTCTCTCTATGTGTGTGTGTGTGTGTGTGTGTGTGTGTGTGTGTGTGTGTGTGTGTGTGTGTGTGTGTGTGTGTGTGTGTGTATATGTGTGTAGAATATAGAGTCAATAGTATTAAGGCGCTTCCATAATATCGCCAATATTAGCAAATATACATATACATAACATATATATAATTATATTGAATGTAGTTGAATATTTAGCGAATGTATATGTATGCACAATTGGCTTGTAATTAATCGTATCATCTGGAGGCGCCTTTACATAAGTATTATGTAAGTATTATTTATCATATTAGTATACGCAGTTTAACGAAATTTATCTCGTATCAAATAACTTTTTTCGTTACACGCTGATTTGTTTATTCTTTGAACTTTGATTCAAGATATCGAAAAATTATTTTTCATGCAAAAATAACTGCTCAATATATTAACTATATTTCACGCAGTGTCTATTTTAATAATATTTCGGAGATAAATAACGCATTTCCTCCAAACACGTTTCAGACAAAAATTGCTTAGTTTCAAAAGATATGTAAAGTATTGACCTTTATTTTACCTTAGAAATCTTTCAGAAAAGTTATATCAGTGTCAACTAAATTTTTGTAATTATCTTTTGGTATATCTTAAATCAAAATGTAAAGAATAAAAAAATTGGAGTGTATTATTTGAGAAAGTTTAATTTCTGAGATTTATTTCTGAGTCCCTTCTATGCAATTTGAGTGATTTATTATTTCAATTAAAAAAATTGTAAATGTCAGTGATATTTATAAAAGCCTTTTTCAACATGCACTGTTATTACATTACTAAACATCTATAGTTCATGTTATATATGTATAAGGAGTCTAAATTTTCAGTAGTCAGTGTATATGAGAACATTGCTAAAATCATACTCATCCTGATATTTTCTTATCTATATATCTAATCGTTTATTCACAAAAAACAACTTTGATTAAAAAAGATTCTACCGATAAAGTAAATATCATTTTGTTCTACTTCTTTGTTCAAGTACAGGCGAGTTTTTAAATGCAATCATTAATAAATATGACTTGTATATTTCTTTTTTATTAATAAATAAATTAATGCAAAAAAGTATAATTTAATCGATAAAAATTGCATTTGTGATTAAGTTAATTGATGTTTAGTCAATTTATGCTATATATAGGTCTCATTAAAATATTATTTGAATAATTTTATTCTGAGAAAATCAAACGTTCCTATCTATATATATATAAAATGACCATATATTTTTAAGAGAAAATAAAGAACAAACTTGAACATTGTAGGATTTTATTCGTAAATATTTATAACTAATTTTTGACTGTCAGATTGCTTATTAATTTCTGAAACTTTTTTGCGCAATTTAGCTGAAATAACTCCTAAGTAAAACATAAGTTATCATAACATCAAAATAGATTATTAAAATTTGTTAGTCATTTTTCAATCAATCACGACCCATTTTTATGTAATTTTGACGTTATCATAATTTTGTTCTGCTTGAGCTAATATCCTTTTTGCATAAAATTATAAATTTCAGTTATTTCCATAAACATTCATTAGTGTAACGTTAGACATTGAAATGTTAATTAAAAAGGAATTTCCCTTAATATTATTAAAATAAAGGACACACTTTAGTTTAGAGAAAAAATAAGTTTAAAGGGCAACTACTGAAATAAAGAAAATTGTCTTATATAATAAAGGACATATGATCATCGTATCTATTAAAACTCACCGCATTTCTTGCCGAATTTGACAATCGGCACTATGTCATCCTCCTCGATCCTGAGGACGTAACCACCATGGACACCGGTGTACAGCTGTCCGTCATAGGAGCCGAAACTTTCCGGGGCATTAATCGCACCATCGAACAACTTCTGGATGCCGTTCAGCCGATTTTTCGGGCCTACCTTGGGATCGAATTGACGCGGTGGAGTTATGCTGCAAGGTCGGAAGATCAAGATCAATCAAAGTCATAACGCTCGGCCATGATTCAATAATGAATTTTCTTTCTTCACGATTCCATTGTAATACGTACTTGTACTCCACGAACTCAGCCTCCGGTGGTAGACCGGGGATGAACGTGATCACGGCCAGGATCAGACCGATGTAGATGACAGCGGTGCCGACCGACTTTAGGTAGCTCATCTCGCCGGGCCGCGGTTCCTCGAACTAAAAGCCTCGGCCGCCCCTCGGGTGTCACTGCGATGTCAAGATCAATCCGTATTCCTCTGAGACACACGGTGCTTCCTCCCTCCTCCCTGCCAGATCCGTCACGCGAGAATATGCGTCTCGCAATCGCTGCGCTGTAAGATGACGTTATCACCTAAGAGCGATTGTCGCGGACGCTACGTTGGATTCTAACGTTGTTAATAGCGTCTGTCGCGATCCGTTCGACCGTGGACGTCGTCGGGGAGAATGGGGGGACGAACGGCCAGTGCGGTTGCAATTTAACTGTTCTTCGTGATACGCGACTAACGGCATTAACGTGTCCCTACCGATTCAATGGCGTTCACGGATACCTGCGAATATCCGCTTCTTCTTAATTCGTGCATAAAACGTTATTGTAATATTTCCTGTTTTCGGAGAATTCTATAAGTCACGGCGGAAGATCCGGTGTCAGAGATCGTTACATTCATCACGCGGACGGAATTCGTCGGAATCATCGAAATTCATTTATTCATTTTAATACAAAATTTCTATAGAGTCACGGTGACACGCATTAATGTTTGCTCGAGCGAACCGGCCAATCGCGATATGCAATAGATCTTTTTTTGCGTTATTTGAAATCATTAAAAATTTTGCACGTTAAACGAGATAAAAATATATTCGTACGACGAAAAGAGAGAAAACGAAAATGCTGAGTGCAAAAGGTGCAAGTCACGCGCACGTTTTTTATTCCGGCTCGCGGTTATCTGATTTCCCGCCGTGAATGCTTTATGCAAATAATGCATTCATCCGAATAGGTTCGGTCGATTGTGTATCTTGGTATTCAAACCATATAACTTTTTCTTTAAATGGAAACGTGAAAACTTTTATGTATGTATACGCATAAATAAATTTCTCTTTTTACGTTTTCGCTCCAAAAAAAGTTACGTGATTAATGAGATGAAAAAATTACAAAAGTAGAATATTTATATTGAAATCCTTAAAAATGTTTGCACTCAAAGTGAGATAAATAGATACATTTGGGCATCGAAAAGAGAGAAAGCGAAGATGCTGAGTGCAAAAAGTGCAAGCAACGCGAATGGACCTAATTTCAATTGGTCAACATCTAGTGAATTTGTAAACGTTCGCGTTGCACTTTTTGCATTCAGAATCTTCGCACTTTCAAATAAAAGATATATGTAAATTATGCAATAATAATATATTGATTTGGTACACTTATAAAAAAAAATTGTCAGAATAAAATAAAATGTGTTTAATCATGCAACAGAATTGCTCATCTATCTTATTAAATGCAAAAGGTGTAACGGTGCAGCTATGAAGAACAGAAAATGTCCCTTTGATGGCGGGACAAGTATCAACATATTCTTCAAACTCTACAGTTTTGACAGAATTAACGGTGCTTGATGGTTTCATTGATTTCGATGCTGTAAACAATCAATCTGACTTTTACAATTGCTCCAACATACTTCCAGAAATTTTGTGTACGTGCTTTTGTAAAAGTCAAACTGAAATTAAATCTGGAAGTGATATGAATTTCAACTCTTTTGAATCAGTGAACGAAGCGAAGCATAGTTTTTCGTTTTTGCAGTGCAATTTTCAGATACATACATTCAAAACGTTTCACTTTTTATAAAGTGTTTTAATACATTTGTATTGCATTTGTATTCTAATATGCTCCTTATTTGTTTTCTTAACAGACCTGAAGATCTCAGGGATGTAACCTCATCAAATGTGAGAACCAAACTGCATATAAAAATTTATAGAAATGGGTAAGTGTTCCATGCCATGCTTTATTATTGGAAACCTCAGCATCAATTTATAATCAATATTTAAGACTGATTTAAATACAATTTTAAAATGTCAATCTAGTTGTAGACCAGTATATTCATATAGTAGGTTCTTATTTTAAATCCATATTAAGTAATTTTTAAAATGCTAATATTTCTTTCCAATTGTCATGATATCTTAAAATTGTCTTAAATATATATCATAGTAATAAATAAATATATTTTAAGACTTAAGACAATCTTAAATATAAGAATTTTAATTATGAATATCAGAGCTGTATTAGCATCGTGAGATATTACTTAAATTATAAAATATATATTAAATTATAAATTATAAATTTTAAAATAAGAATAAATTATAAACCGACCTTGGATTCCTTTCCAACAAAATTATTCTAAATTGGAAATATCTTATATATAGTTATTTATAACATTGTTCTGAATTCAGATGATCTCGAGCAACAATGTGAAGAGGTGGTATTTGAATTGTGTGATGCTAGAGAGAGGTTTCCACTGTTGTGTACAAAGGAACTAGAGAAATGTATCAAGCTTACCAATGAAATAAATGTAAGTGTTCTTCACATAACTGATAATTATTATTTTACTTTTTATTTATCACTAGTGTGATTTGTTACAGATGACAAAGATTCTTGTAAAACCAACAAAAAGTCTGGATGTTCCATCTTTTACAAACGAGCACTCAGCAATACTTACAAAAAGTTTTGGAGAGACCACTGAATTACTGAAGACACAAGAACATAAATTTCAAGCGATGATAGATAAACTTAATAACTTGACAGTCATTTTGGATCAAATTAAGAGAGATAAGTTATCTGAAATGAATAAGTTGTTGTGGGATTAAATGTATTTTTTCTTAATGTAATATCTATCTCTCATATTATACATTTATTGCTGTATGTATTGTATATTAGTTGTATAAATATCAGGAGACGCGGTAGCGTCTCCGGCCATGTTCAAAAACTAAGAGACGCTACAAGTCTCTTATCCCGAGCCACCAAAGTTCATTTTTGGGAGTATATGAATATACAAAGTGTTCTGAAACTTGAAGGTAATATTATTGCAATGTAAAACTATGAAAAATTAAATATTTAGTAAAAGTGTAAGCTATTTTTTTAATAAGAGTTTTTATAAACGTTTAAAATTGGACTAATCATAAGTGTTGGTTAAAAAGCACATTATAAAGAAATAACTTTATATCATATATATATATATATATATATATATCTGCATTATATGTTATTTAAGTTTAAAGGCAACGGATCTAGTCTCATGTCAAAACAGTACCCATGAATGCATGCTAGCAGTCACATGTTGTACATATATGTATACTATACTATATCACGAAATAATACTGAATAATACTAATTAGCTATTAATGTTTCCTAGTGCTTCATTATAACTTCTGTTATGTCTACGTTCATAGAAAATGTGCATATAAAGGATGGAGAGTACACTAAGATAATATATATAATGGTACACAATGAACTATGCATACACATATGTATACATTAAAAAATGTTTTTTAAAATAGATAAATCTAAAGTCAATTAAACAAGGATCAAGATAGTCTTGAAATATTATTGTCTTATTGATTTTTATAATCTTCGAAATTGAAGAAATAAATAATTAAGTATTGTATTTCAGATACGAGAACAACGATATACGGAATGTATCAAAGTTTTGTTAAACCTTTTAGATTCTCATCCTAATGTATGTATGCTATAATGTAATATTGTTTTTCAGTTTATGTAAACGTCAATACTGAATAAAGTGCTCTTTCAGTCCAGACCTTGTTTATCCCTTCTGGCCCATTGTTACTTTTACACACAAGATTTCATGGCAGCAGCTCAATGTTACGAGAAGCTGGTTCAACTGTGTCCACAGGAGAATCTATATAAGCTTTATTATGCCCAGTCTTTGCATCAAGCTTGCATGTATCCAGAGGCATGGACAATTTGTTCGAGCATTATCAATCAAAGCAACTTGGAATTCAAGGTAAAGAAACTACAGGCAGCTATAAAGTATGGACAGGAAGACATGGTAGCTGCAAAAAATCTCGTGGATCATTGCCCTGTCGATGACGTAGATACTGAAATTAATCTAGGATGTCTCTTGTACAAGGTACAGATATTTATAACACTCCACTAAATACCAATAGCTTATAACATAGCTTAGTTGTTTATTAAGTTAGTTGAGCGTTATTAACACAGATGTATATGTCCAAATACATTTCTAGGAGGAGAAGTACGAACAGGCCCTCAAAAAATTTGCAAATGCATTACAAATTGCAGGATTTAGGCCTCACTTATCATATAACGTTGCTCTTTGTTATTTCAAACTGAAAGAGTATGCAGCATCCTTGAAACATATTGCCACTATTATCGAGCACGGTATAAGGGAGCATCCAGAGTTGAGTGTAGGAATGGCCACCGAGGGTATTGAAGTTCGAAGTGTCGGGAATACATTGACATTGCACGAGACAGCTCTGACGGAGGCGTTCAATCTGAAAGCCGCCATCGAGTACCAATTGCAAAATTGTAATTTTGATATTGCTGACATTTTAGAAAGGTTTTTTTTTACAAATTTTGCTTAATATTACAGATGACGCGGCAAAGGAGGCGTTAACGGACATGCCACCGCGTTCCGAGGAGGAACTCGACGCCGTTACTTTACATAATCAAGCGTTAATAAACATGGACACAAAGCCAAGTGAGGGATTTGAGAAGCTGCAGTTTTTGTTGCAGCAAAACCCATTCCCACCTGAGACCTTCGCCAATTTGTTACTCCTGTACTGTAAATATCAGTATTACGATCTCGCTGCCGATGTCCTGGCTGAAAATGTACATTTGACTTACAAGTATCTAACGCCAGTAAGTTTAATCTTTAACCAATTATTTTTATTCATCAGACTTTAATTTGAGCATTTGAAACGATTTACAGCCTTATTAAGTATATTATTTTATATACAAGTTATTTGTAATGCAAGGTATACTGAAACTAAATTATATCTAAAAAAGAAAGAACTGGAATAATCAATTTGAATGTTTGGTTTTCGAATGTTTGCATTTTTTGGTGCGAGTTTCGTGAGTATCTGGATGTTTCCGTTTGTGAGATTTTAGGTCGTCAGATGATGAGCTATCAGAGGAGTCGCTCGAACTGCTGTTGTATTTCTTTTTATGCTTCTTGCGTTCTTTGGAAAATTTCTTTTTCTTCCTCTTGCTTATCTCCTTGTCTTCTGTATCACCGTTGTCAGTAGACTGTTTGCTCCTTTTTGACTTTTTTTTCTTCTTTTTCGATTTGTGTTTCTTCTCCGCCTTTTTCTCAATGTTTTTACTATCTGGTTCTGGGACACTCTCCTCTTCGATCTCTGGGATTAGTTCATACTTCTTACCATCAGGAGACATGAAGCAGTCCTTAGACAAGTGTCCCTTGGTCCCGCATTTGGTACATGTGGTATTTAATACAGCTTCCAACTGTATGGCCTTGTGCTGAGTCATTCCTGGGTTTCTTTTCCGTTGTGCATCTCTTTGCAGCTCCACCCCGTTGGGGTCTAGATCCGTACCATTTCCCTGATTCACATGTTTCATGGACAGCCCTACCTTGCCGTCTTCTCCAACCGAGATCACCTTACACCAGACTCGTTCACCCTTTTGCAAGACCTCTGCAACATTGTCGACATGAGCTGTGCTTACCTGACGGAAAATTGTATAGAAATCAATGGATTACATTACAGCAGAGATCATTATTATTAGTATTTATTATATGAGCCTAATTATACATACCTGCGAACGGTGTATTAAGCCTTGCTGCGAAGTACCTGGTATTCTAATAAAAGCTCCATAATTTTGTACGGACGCGATTTCACCCAGAAATATCTGATTTAATTCACATTTCGTCATCTTTAATTTCTCATCGAAGGAGCATCCATATGCGAGTGATGACGTTTCAACAAGTGTAAAATCAATAGAAAGAAAAATTGCGCACGCTAATATATAGGTTAGATTTCTATCAACAAACACAGGGCCGTAATATCAATATGTCCGTAGCAACATTTTTAATTACCTTTTAACGAGATATTTAAAATTTTGATTAAAGTGTTCAGAAATATGTTAAAATTCATAGAACAAGGCAACAAAAGTATATGATATAGAAAATGTAATAGTAGATATTTTGCAAAAATATAACAATTAGATTTTTAAACTGATTTCACAATTACAATTTTTTACATGTAACACATTCTAATACTTATTTAATTTAATATATTCTATTTAATTTCATAGGAAATAGATAATCAAGATAATAAAAATATAAAACAATGTTAACTTGTAATATAAGTATAGGTCCTTTCAGAAACTATAGTAAAGTATTTTGTTCTCAGCTTTAGAAGTTTCAAAATTTTACACTACAGTTTTGGCTAAAATTTATATACATTATTTAAAGTTTAAAAATTGATTTATGGCATTTGCTATGAATTACCCTTTGCTTCTAGACCCCTTTAAATTTATGTATAATGTCAATAATCAATAGAAACAATGCAGATAAAAGAATTCTGGATAAATAAGAAAATATAAATATCTAATATTTTAGCCAAGGCTATATATAAAAAACTTAAACTTATAAATACAGTATGAATAATTAGTTTATTATATGAATAAGATAAAGCTATGAGAAATATGATTGTAAAATATAAATAAATTAGTAATTTATCTTAGTAATCCAATTATGGATTAATAAGATATATATTTCGCAAAAATAGAGATCACACTTCGGAAAAAATTTTTTAGTAAATTTCGATTAAAAAATTTTATATATTCCTGATATACAGTAATGTCTTATTTATTGATGGTATTGGAATTATTTTTAAATTTGCATTATTTTTCCAGTATTTATACGATTTTTTGGACGCGCTAATAACGCAACAAACTTCGCCGGAAGAGGCGTATCGCAAATTCGATGATCTCGCTAACAAGCATACTGAAGCACTTCGCAAAGCGACCAAGCAAGTCCAGGAGGCGAGGTTAAATCACGACGATAATGCTGTGAAAAAGGCTGTGAACGATTATGAAGAAGCTCTCGATAGATATGTTCCCGTATTAATGGCGCAGGCGAAGATCTACTGGGACCTGGAGAATTACACGCAAGTGGAGAAGATCTTCAAGAAGAGCGTCGAGTTCTGCAACGATAACGATGTGTGGAAGCTAAATGTGGCACACACGCTCTTCATGCAGGAGAATAAATTTAAGGATTCGACACGCTTCTATGAACCGATTGTTAAGAAGAAATACGACAGTGTTAGTGAAGCAAAGACCATTTCTCCACATAGAACACAAAATCGTAATAAGATCAAGATGATCAAATACAAGTAGTCATTTTGAAAAAAAAAATGATTTAATATTTTTGATGATAATTTTGTGATGAATTCTGATTTCTGATATTATAATTTCGTATATAACAAAGCATTTGTTCTTTTTTTCTTTGTTATATATAGTCTGACTCTTGTAATCTATTTGCAGATCCTGGACGTGAGCGCTATAGTCCTTGCAAACCTCTGCGTCAGCTACATTATGACCTCGCAGAACGCAGAGGCCGAAGAGCTGATGAAGAAGATTGAGAAAGAGGAAGAGGCGGTGTCGTTTGAGGATCAGGACAAGAAACTCTTTCATTTATGCATCGTAAATTTGGTGATAGGAACGCTGTATTGTTCCAAGGGTAATTACGAGTTCGGAATATCGCGAGTGATGAAGAGCCTGGAGCCCTACAATAAGAAACTCGGTACTGACACCTGGTTCTACGCGAAAAGATGCTTTTTATCGCTCCTGGAGCAATTGGCGAAACAGTTAGTGGTCTTGAAAGATTCCACATTGCAGGAATGTGTTCAATTTTTGGAGCATTGTGAAGGTATACAGGTTTTTCAATTAAAAATTATATTTAGAAGTTGTATCAAAAACCAATCGACACCAATTAAAAATAATATAACATCAATATTATATTATTGTACTTAACATTTAACAATATAAATGTTATGTAGTATCTGAGTTGCGTTTGCTATTAGCACTATTTGTATCTCGTTCTATATTTTTAGCATTCATTAAATATAAAATAAAGATAGAGTTACATAAATAGACGCTAATAGCATTTGCGCTTTATAAACCATAGTGTTAAATAATATTTACAGCTGTTTAGCTTAAAATTATAACAATGATGTTATAACATTTATGTTACTTTTAGTAGATGTCGATTGGGTAATTTATAACTTAATTAGCAAGAGTTTGGTTGATCTTGTAAATTTTAATTATGCGACGGACTTGTATGCTTTATCTGAAATTTCAGTTTACGGCAAGGACATAATGACGGTGATCGATCAGCCATTCGACGTACAGGACATGTTGAACATTTCACCTCAGGGAAAACGAACGGTCATTTACGAGGCGCGATATCTCAAAGCATTATTCTTACAGTTACAAATGTCTTAAATTTATATACTTTTTTTGTACACTTTGTCTGATAATATCTTGTGATTACATCTTAATTAGCATAATATAGAAACAAAAGTAATTTGTAGTGCTAAGAACTACAAAATTCAAATAGCTGTAATTTTGTTCAAAATGAACGAAGTTTAAATAAAAAAAAGTTTTAAAACTTAAATTATTTTATTCTCTCTCTATTTTCGATAAATTGTTGGTTTTTTTGAGTTTCTATAAATTTGATAATTGTTAAATACAGAAAACTACAATTGTACTGAGAATATATAATGATTCGCTGTGTTATATTCCGTTACATAATCATTTTATTCAATTTTAATGAACTTTTTTTTAGATCTGTCATTCCTGCATTGGACGATTGGGTGATGTAGAATGTGTGTCTTTGGACTGTCCTGTTTTATACCGAATGGCACAAGCTCGTAAAGAGCTCGCGCAAGTTTCCTACATGAATAATATTATTTATGGAAATAATTCCAGTGGAATCAAGGAATTAAATGCAGTTGCTGAATGGTATTGAGTACAACGGAAACAAATTCGTATGTGATATGCGCGCGTAATTAAAAGAGAATATTAGTGCTCTAATTTTAATTAAATTACAAATATTTTTTGTAAAATAGTATTATTATTACTGTAAATACTATAAGAGTCATTTCTATATAAAAGTAACATTAATTTTGGTTTAATTTATAGTTTAGCTTTTTCTTCGAAAAATGAAAAAAATCAATAAATTAAATCGAGATTAAAGTTAATCTTACATTGATGGAACCAGGTTTTAGTGATATGCATTATTTTTTAATTAAATATTTAAATTGAATACTTCTTGCAGTTTAATTCCCATTATCTCAGTTATTCGTTTATATATTTTTATTTATCTATACTAAATAAAAAATAAAAATTACTTCTTGCTGTATATATATTGTGTTAACTAATAATAATTTATATGTATGTGATAAGGCTCAATATGTATTAAACAACTAATATAAAGAGATAAGGGTAATGAGCCAATTTTCGTTAAAATCTTTAAATCAATCTAATATATTGCGAAGAATATCACGTAATTATGGCGTTTCGTCCCAACTTCCACTACTGGACTCATCAGTAAGGCATTGCAGTGGAAGCCTATCTTAGACGCCTGTTTAAGTTATTAAATCGAGATTCTATATATACAGATATAAGCGTATCAAGCATATATGTAATACTCATATATGCTCGGAGTTGACAGTCAAGTCAGGGTGCGATTACATGGAGCGCGGAAACACGGAAAAGCGGAAGACAAAATTATCTAGATTTTACTAAACTTCCGCGCGTTTCGTTCCGCCTGTTTTGATCTTCTAATGGAGCACAATTTTCGCGGAAAAGCGGAACGAGGAATTAGAAATTATTAATTTTTAACGATATTTATTGATTAAAATACTTGTATTCAATGCAGAAGCTGAAAAGATAAGCATATTAATAAAAATTGCAATGCATTAGAAAAAAATTTTTTTAAATTAATACAAAAGTGTATTTGTCACTAAACCATTCCGCTTTTCCGTGGAAATTATGTTCCATGTAATATTAGGAGATCAAAACGGAATCAAGGCGGAACAAAACGCGCGGAAACGCGGAAATTTAGTAAAATCTAGATAATTTTGTCTTCCGCTTTATATAATTATATACAATTCTATAATATAATTCTATAATAATATAATTATATAATACTCATTATATAATTTATAATAGAAAAATAATAATTGTGTTATATTAAAGGCAATAAGAGTAAAAAAAGTAATAAACATTCGAAAACTAAATTATAATAAACATTACTAATGCTCATTTCCACCAATGCAGATTAACTTTAATCTCGGTTCAAAATTTACTCTTTGTCTTTTTCTAGTTATAAAAATTAGAAAAAGATAAACAGTATAAGTTAAACCGAGATTAAAGTTAATCTTTATTGGTGAAAATTAAAGTAAATACTAAATAATTTAACAGAACTAACAAAAATATACATATTGTCTAATAACTAAATATATACATAGTCATGTCTAATGACTATAGGTATCATATCACTGAATCATATAATCATTAGACAATATGTATATTCTTTTAGCTCTATTAAATTATATTTAGTATTTAGTAATGTTTATTATAATTTAGTTTTCGAATGTTTATTACTTTTTTGACTCTTATTACTTTTAATATCACACAATTGTTATTTTTTTAAGATTGAGAGTCCTTTATTTTCTTTATTTATTTTTATAATTAATATATAATATAAGAAATAATTCTTAATATTATTCAAAAACAAACATTTACGCCAATATTAAATTAATTATATGTATAAATATCAAATAATTAATTTATCAAGATTTTTGCGTCGTCTTACATAATTTTATTATTTTCTTTATATAATAAATTATTATACACTTTTCACATAAATTAGTTTGTGCTAAGGGAAATAATTAATTTCATCATTCTAACAGTATATTTATCATGATACAATTCTGTTGACAAGTTTGTTAGTTTCATTTTTTTCTCCCTTTGCGTTATGCATAATTTGCAGCTGTGGCACACTGTTAACTAAACAGTTAATTGGCATTAATGCTTCTCAAAATATCGAATTGAAGAGACTCTTCTGGCTGCTTACTATTTCAGCACTTGCGAGAATTTCGCAAATATCGATAGACATCTGATGGCGAGTCTACGTGGTAATATTCTTCTGAAATACACATATATCGCTTTATATAGAATCTTGATTTAATAACTTACACCGGCGTCTTGTTGGGTACAATAACGTAGGCTTCCACTACGTTACCTTACTGATGAGTCCAGTAGTGGAAGCCGGGACAAAACGCCAACTTGTGATATTCTTCGCAATATACTAAATTAATTTTTAAGAATTCGGTTGCGGCTGTTGAGGACTCTGTGAAGTCGAAACTTTCCGTATATACCGGTGTTATTATTATAATAAATTTATATATATTTCTAACAACTAGTATAGCTCAATTGTTCTTGACCTGGGAGGTATATTAAGTTTAATTTGAAAATTTATTTGATACTAAAATATTGATCTTTTATTGACATTAATTCCACAAAAAACATGTATACATTTGATATTTCACACACATACACACATTTATTTAAACATTTTATACCAGAAACGCGCTGAATGTGTGAATTAATCAGTCTTAAATAGATTTTAAGTATAAAAAGATGAGTGATTTAGATTCGTTGTAACAAGTTCTTTCTTAGCAATAGCTAAAATAAACTCATTACTCATACCAGAAACGCTACAAAGTACATATATTAGCAGATGTCTAATTTAAATTAAGCATTAAAAATTAAGCACTCTAAATGATTACATTCTAAAACCACCCAGTCATATCGAAGATAATTTTAAACTGGTCAAATACACATCGGGACAATGATTTTGTTTTAATTTCCTTAGACGTAGTTTCATTGTTTATAAACATACCAATGGATCTTGCCATCAACAGTGTTCCTGAAAGGTGGAATTTTATTTCAAGGACACCTAAAAGAATTTTTAAATGCACTGAAGTTGGTCTTAGAATCAACTTTCACCTTTGATAGCAAGATTTACAAACAGAAATTTAAGATGCCCCGCCATGAGCTCGCATTGGAGAGACTTGAAACTGAGTTACTCTTCTTCTTTAGATATGTAGATGACATCGCTACTGCGGTATCTCACCACTTAATTAATAAATTTCTGGACATTTTTAACTCACTACATATCAGACTATAATTTAGAATATGCAGGAGATAGATTAAATTTTTTAGATGTCATAATCATTACTGTTAATGGAATAAAAGTTTAATTTATATCACAAACCAACTTTTTCGGTAAGGTATCTCAGTTTCTTGTCTGTTCACCCCCTTTCACAAAAAAGGGTGTTCTAATAAGCATGGTGGATACAGCATTCTTACTATCACATCCTAAATACCATAAAAAAATTTGAGGTTTATTATCGAAACCTTTCTGATTAACGAATATCCTATCCAGTTTATTTTTGACACTGTTAACTCTTGGCTAAGATCCTTATTAAAACTAAAGACACTTAAATAAACAGATTCCACAGAACCAAAGAATGATGAGAAAGAAAAAAAACAAATGAGTTATAATTCCATTTCTTCCTTGCCTTTACGGAAAATTTAAAAATATTACAAAAAAACATTACAAAAACAATAATGTTAAATTATCTTGATTCAGTATAAATAAACTCAATGGGATTATCAAGACACAAAAGGATGTCCTTCCTCACGATTCCAAGAAAAATATCATATATAAAATCAATTGTAAAGATTACAATGCCTCATATGTAGGACAGACAGGAAGAAAACTAAAAACAAGAATTGCTGACCATCTTAATATCGATAAAAAAAATCGGTCTGTCATTACAGAACACAGAATGCAATTCAAACATGAATTTGAATGGGAACGCACTTGCATAACGAAATAAATTATAAGAGATTGATTTCTCTAAAATGCTTTATATCAAATTTCAAAGCTAATGATTAAAATTAAAAATCTGACACTAAATTTTTGCACCATGCTTATACGAACATTATCAACAAAATGTAATATAACATAATCACTTTTAATATTATTTTGACTATATGTACTTTTAACTTATGACAACTTTCTACTTCGTAACATTATTTTGACATCAATCAACACATTTATTTAATTTTATAACATCTATTAGATGTAAGTAGAGATACATGTCAAGAAATAAAACGTTTTGTCTTTATAGAGAGTCCATGAATATAATAAGTTAAAATTAAATTTTAACATGACATATATCTCACACATCTATAGTGTTTATATCTTACATCATTCCAATATTACATTCATCACAACACAGTTCTTTTGATAAGTTCGTTAGTTTCATCTATATGCTGAATAAAATTATGAGAGTGAATAGCAAACGATAAACGATTATATTTTATAATTTTAAAACAATGATAATTATCATGATAACCATTGTTTTAAAATGTAATTTTTACCGTCTCTACAGATTCTAGTATAAAATGTAATTATAATAAAATATAATCTCGTTTGTAGTTCTACTATACAATTTCATAATTTTATTCAGCATACAGATGAAACTAACACAAGCTTGTCAAGAGAACTCGTGATGAATATAATATTGGAATGATGCAAAAGATATAAAAACTATATAATACTTATAATTTAATTAGTTATAACTTAATACACTTACAATTTTATTCAGTATTAAGACACATTCAGCGCAACATGAACAAATCAATTCTTATTATTTGGATTATCCAACTTACTAGAAGGAATCAAAATTAGCTTAGGTATCATGCTGGGCGGTGTTAAGAACTGTTGTGTGCTCTGTAGTTGGACCACAATATTCTATTTCCGCCTCTGTGTTTGCAGATATTCAACTTGATATCCGTTTGCGCGTTAGATGGTCATTTTTTCACAGCCTGTGCCATGCTACCAAAAAATAATTCTATACTCTTATATTTGGGCGCTAAGTAAAATTTTTGCTTCCCGTTTTTTTTCTCCATATTTTTTGCTTCTTTCACAATCATATACGGTATGTCAGGTAATATGATGTTAACTGGTATGTTAGATAGTACTCTAGGACGTGCTCTAGGACGTACTCTAGGAGGTACACTAGGAGGTACACTAGGAGGTACACTAGGAGGTATGCTAGGTGGTACGGTAGATAGAACGGTAGATGGTAGGATAGGTGATAAGCTATGTGATACGCTACGTGATATGCCACGTGGTACGCTACGTGTTCTTTTCTCAAGAATAGGCTCAATCACTGTAATATCACTTACATTTAAATTATCGATCTTCAAGGAAGACCTTGTTATTCTTCTACAGCTAGGTGATATTGGAGAAGTATTTCTGGTTTTCAATCGTTTCGTAGGTGTTTTACGATTCTTTGACCGTTTTTGATTAATATTGTTCACATCCTCCGTAGGAATCTCTTGTACAATCACCACTTCTTGAGCGACTGTCTGTTCATTACTGTTGCCCAATATTTCTACTGTTCCTACTGTTTCTATTGTTTCCAATGTTTCTAATACTTTTATTGTTTCTATTGTCTCTTCAACGGGTTCTAGTATAACTGGATCAGCTGATGTCTCTTCAAGAACTGGATCGGCTGATGACTTGTCAAGAACTTCCAGGGATTCGGAATAGTCCTCACTTCGGTCTTCTAACAGCTCCGACAAACCTTCGGAAGTCAAATCTTTCGAATTTATCAGTTCAATGCTAGGTGGTACGGTAGATAGTACGGTAGATGGTAGGATAGGTGGTAAGCTATGTGATACGCTACGTGGTATGCCACGTGGTACGCTACGTGTTCTTTTCTCAAGAATAGGCTCAATCACTGTAATATCACTTACATTTAAATTATCGATCTTCAAGGAAGACCTTGTTATTCTTCTACAGCTAGGTGATATTGGAGAAGTATTTCTGGTTTTCAATCGTTTCGTAGGTGTTTTACGATTCTTTGACCGTTTTTGATTAATATTGTTCACATCCTCCGTAGGAATCTCTTGTACAATCACCACTTCTTGAGCGACTGTCTGTTCATTACTGTTGCCCAATATTTCTACTGTTCCTACTGTTTCTATTGTTTTCAATGTTTCTAATACTTCTATTGTTTCTATTGTCTCTTCAACGGGTTCTAGTATAACTGGATCAGCTGATGTCTCTTCAAGAACTGGATCGGCTGATAACTTGTCAAGAACTTCCAGGAGTTCGGAATAGTCCTCACTTCGGTCTTCTAACAGCTCCGACAAACCTTCGGAAGTCAAATCTTTCGAATTTATCAGTTCAATGCTAGGTGGTACGGTAGATAGTACGGTAGATGGTAGGATAGGTGGTAAGCTACGTGGTATGCTACGTGGTACGCTACGTGTTCTTTTCTCAAGAATAGGCTCAATCACTGTAATATCACTTACACTTAAATTACCGATCTTCAAGGAAGACCTTGTTGTTCTTCTACAGCTAGGTGATATTGGAGAAGTATTTCTGGTTTTCAATCGTTTCGTAGGTGTTTTACGATTCTTTGACCGTTTTTGATTAATATTGTTCACATCCTCCGTAGGAACCTCTTGTACAATCACCACTTCTTGAGCGACTGTCTGTTCATTACTGTTGCCCAATATTTCTACTGTTCCTACTGTTTCTATTGTTTCCAATGTTTCTAATACTTCTATTGTTTCTATTGTCTCTTCAACGGGTTCTAGTATAACTGGATCAGCTGATGTCTCTTCAAGAACTGGATCGGCTGATGACTTGTCAAGAACTTCCAGGGATTCGGAATAGTCCTCACTTCGGTCTTCTAACAGCTCCGACAAACCTTCGGAAGTCAAATCTTTCGAATTTATCAGTTCAACGTATTCCTTGGTCAGTTCTGCACACTGTGGCTCGTAATCTGTTTCACATCTGCCAAAGTATTTTTAATTGAGAAAACGACACATAAGCGCTAAAATCATCAATAATCATAGATATCACTTACGGGAATTTTAGGAAGCTCAAGAGATCCTCAAAGATCCATTTTTTTCTTCTCACACCGTTTGCCTTAGTCTTGCACCTCAAAATACTTAAATAAGTATCCATTAGATACTTCCATTTTAGTCTAACCAATGTAGCTACAACAGACAACAATCATTGGTCGCATTCAGCAGACTTAACTGTTGCGGAGCAGATTCATTAGCGCTCACTGCTATTGGTATATTCTTTTAAATCATTCAATAGCAGCGAGCGCTCAAGGATCCGCTCTGCAACAATTGAGTCTGCTGAACGCGACCATTGGGTGCACTCAGCGGACTCAACAATAGGGGCTGCGTTCCGTTATTCACTGCAAGTACTGAAAATTTATAGTTCGCGTTACGTATACTACAGATTTTCAGTACTTGCAGTGAATAACGGAACACAGCCTGAGTGAGCACTCGCTGTTATTGGTGTATTCTGCTAGATCTATTTCAGAATTCTGAACGAATGATCTAAAAAAATGTACCAATAACAGTGAGCGCTCACTCAACTGTTCTGTTGAACCTGCTGAACACACGCAATGGTCACATTTAGGAGATTGTTTATTTTACAGTAGATTAAAGTTTTCTTCATTTTGATTGGATTATAGTTCTAGATCTAGAAAAATATATTCATGTCAGCAAAGAAAACTTTCAACAATTGCAAAATAAACAAGGCTGTGTTCTGTAGAAAAATGTATTCAGTTAGCATTTATTGATTTCTTAATATAATTAGTCCTTACATTTACATCCAGTGAAGAACTAAAAGCAAAAAACCAATCATATTAAAGAATCACTGAGCACTCATTGAGTGCATCCAGAAGCAAGACCACTGACTGAGCACTTAATGAGATCTTGTATCTGATTAGTTAATGCTCATTTCCACCAATGCAGATTAACTTTAATCTCGGTTCAATTTACTCTTTGTTTTTTTCTAGTTATAAAAATTAGAAAAAGATAAACAGTAATTTAAACCGAGATTAAAGTTAATCTTTATTGGTGGAAATTAAAGTAATTCCATTAGATCTAAAAATGTAGACCAAACAGGTACAAGAGCTCAGTAAGTGGTCATGCTTCTAGATGCACTTATCAATCAATTAACTTTTGAATGCAATCATTCTGCTGAATGTGATCACCGATTGCATTTAGCAGAAAAAGTAGGTTTGCAATTGTCATAAGATAATATTTAATGATTGGTTTATATATTTAAATTTAATGATCAAGGACTTGGATTCTCATGCAGACACCAAGCGCTTTGGTGAAAAGCGGATGAAGGATGTAAATTTTACCTACACACAATTGTTTTTTACCAATCAACATTTAGGCCCGTATTCAGAACGCACTTTTATTATCGATAAAAGCGCGCTTTTATCTCTGAAATTCTATAGTATACGTTACGTAAAACTATAGCAAGTTATCGCACTAACATTATTGTTAGCGCGTTCTGAATACAGGCCTTAGTGTCAAAGCATTGTTGTCTATGAGGTTTCATACTAAGAACATCAAATATATTTAAAAAATGTAACAACAGTTGTAAATTTGTTTTTTCTACCGTATAGTTTCTGACTGCATTTAATAAAAAATAATAATTTCACTATTATTAGATATTTACGTTGTTCTGAGTAGATTATATTTTTAAATTCATAGGAAGTTTTATTTCAATGAAAAAACTTTTAAAGTTGTAAAATATATAATATAGCCAGTAGCATAGTAAGTAAAAAAAGGAAACGACATATAAAAACTTACAGTCCAGCCCAAGTTCGTCACAGACATATTTCCAGACTTGCTGTTTGAATTCCTGCAGCTTCACCGGCTCACCCTTCACCTCAGTACAATAAAGTACTGGGTGTTCTTTGACAGCTTCTATGATGTTCACTGAGATCTGATAGGAATCCGGTGGCACAGCCATTGTACGAATCGTCGTTTAACCTGAAAAAAGGAAATATTTTATTATTACAATATTCCAATGTTAGTCAGAAACAACTTTTATTCCCGCTCGAGCTACAATCTCGCGCTCCAGTAATGACGATGACAAAGTTATAGTATAGTTTAGTATAGTGTGTAAAAATTCGTCGAAAAATTTCGTCATGCACGATGTTCGGTATGCGTATGCATCATGCAGTTCTTATTTCTCTAGTTCATCGTATACTTTAAAAAATAGATCTAATCGCGCAATATAATATTAGACGCTACTTGAAAATCACACAATGGACGAATGTGAATAATTCACACTCATAACTCATTCGACAACGCGCATTTCCGTCAAAAAGTGGGAGGAGGCTACATTTCCGGTAGAAACATTTTAATTTTTGTATTTTACATTTGTAAAATATATTATAGCATC